AGAGTTGACATAATAGATAATAAATATGCAGTCTGCTTGCTCTCCCTCTCTCTTTACCACAGCTACATCTCACCACACATCAAACCTCAGTGTATGAAGAGAGCAGACCACTGTCAGGCTTTTCTGAGAGGGAGAGTTCACCCAAATCAAATAAAGAACAAAAAACAACCTAAAAGTCTTAAATGTTTTTTAGTTATTCAACAGAACTCTTTAGGTTTACTATGTAATTGTAAAAAAATCACATTTCTATCTCCATTATGCCTTACTGAAAATCTACACCAAGCTTATGTGTGTTTTAATTTAGCCTGTTGAGGATTGAATTAATTATGCCTCATACAATTAGGGATTCTGTTTCAACACAACAGTTTGGGTTCAATTTATTGTTCACAATAAAAATATAGAACCATTTTTTCACAGTCAGATTGCAATAAAATAACTGCGGTACCAAAACATTAAGAAAAATAAGTAAAACATCCAATATTCATATTTAACCAGAAGAATACATAACATTTAATAATCACATTTGAAAAGACATTTGTCATGTAAGAGTTGAATATATTGTTATATTGTGCTTCATATGTTGTATGTGTGTATGGATCACACAGCTATAAAACATCTTCTGAACTGAAAGCTAAATAGATAAATCAATTTTTATATTTCATTCTCTAATTCTGATCATTTTTATTTCTTGTGTAAATTAGTCTCAAATATAGTTTAATTTGTCTTATTGTCAGCTTATCAGTCATGTGTGAATGTGTGAATGGCACTAACCGTAGGAAAGATGTTGTACAAATTCAGTTTGACTGACTGATTGATTACAATGGATGTGAATCCATTTCCAAAAACATTGGAAAATGATATTTAAAAAGCAGCATCTCTGTCCAGAAACCAAAGATAATCCACAGAAAACTATTTAGTTTTCAAATAAAGAAATATAACCATTAAAACTATTGAGATTTGTGAATACATCCAATAACAACGACAATTTGAAAAGACATTTTAGTCTTTAAAATGTCACTTTTCAATACTATGAACATCAAAAATTACAATGATATTAAAAATGAAATAAAATAATAATAATTCAATTCACTTCAATAAATGTAATAACCAAAAGGACTTTTTTCATGACTGGATCACAAATGGTAAACGGGAAAATATTTTTTTATGGGATTTGGGTGAACCTTTAACCTACATAAAGACATATAATAACATCCATATAGTATTCATTTATTAACATGTAACATATTTTATAACACAGACATCATGAAGTTAACTGAAAAGAAAATGTATGGAAGTGATGTTGTGGTCTTATGTCGGACAGGTCCGCTTCAGGATGGGTGACACAAAGGAGGTGCAGTTTTCAGCTTCACCAACAGGAGGCAGTAGTGATCAAATTGTCACTCATACTTAATGACACTGTGAGATCAACATGGGGCTGAGGAGGGTGAGTTTGTCACCCTGACTGAGGCTGATTCACCATCACTGCCTGGCTCTCATGCTCTTATTCAGTCTCACAGTTCTGTGTCACTGTCTGTCTCTCTGTTCACTCGGTACGTCTCCCTTTAAACTCTGTTTAGGTGGTTTTGCCTCCTCGAAGACATACTTTGTTTGTTTACACTATTTTCTCTTTACTGATTCCTGCAGGCGTCATCTTTGTTAGCAGTGTAATTACCCCCCAGGGAATGTTTTTGAGTGTGGCTGGGTGAGTGATACCTTTAGTGATGGAAATGAACTTAACTCAACAAGAATTGATGAACTTGCGTTTTGTGCAACTTGATACACCTACTCCACTTTTTTTCTAGTGCCTAATATTGAACTTCATATCAGTGCTTTGCAGATTAAGGTGTCACATACAAAACCTATGAAAGACATTATTTTGATAAAACTACCAAACAACGTATAAAGTTAAAAAATCTACTCATAGATGACAGTTTCAACATTAAAATGCTGCATACATGTTAATGGATCTGCACAATACACGTGTCATAGTATTTTATAATGCAATAGAAGTAGGATACTTTTACAGTAAAGTACGAGTAAAAATATTTCTATATCCTCAGTGGTAAATGCAGGATAACCACCGCTTCACCTGGCTTTATCTTAAATAAGATGCTGGAAGTATCAAAAAGCTGAAATCTGGTAGAATAGATATCCACACACTTAAATCTATGCAGAGAACACTTATGTCCTCAGTGGTAACAACAAGCAAATATTTGGAGTCAATGAAACAATAACGTCTAGAATCTAACAGGATCTAAATAATCCTGAAATATAATACGCGTGTATACTTATAACAATCTAACTCTCTCAAAGAGGTAATTTTGCATGAATACTTTTACTTTTAATGCTTTAATTTGACACTGAATAAGGAATGTTACCTATAACAGACTGTTTTATTACTACTCCTACTTGAATGGGTACTCCAACAATTTCGTATTATACTTCCATAAAGTAGATCATACAAGAGATAGATTTAAAAAAATAAAGGTCAAAATCAAAGCAGCACAGACCAAGATAAGCGAGCGTTTAGTCGAGTATGTTCAAACTCCATGAGCACTGAATCCTACATTTCCCATAATGCAACTCAATAGTTTCTTCCATTAGTCTCTCTTGTGATGATGTAGTGAACAATAGATTTACGCTATGACCACCATGTTCAATTATTTCAATTTTAATTTCAATTTTATTTCTGAAACAAGGGGTGGCAGAAATACGTCCTCCCACTTCACAACTCTATTTACTCAGACTTTAGAAAGTTCTCACCAGAGCAAGAAGACACCATACTGTTTGCTCAGGCTGGGTAGCACTATTATGACTTGTAAAACCAGTGGAATGCCCCTTTAATCAAAGGATTTGAATACCTTGTCCACCACTACTTGCACACTAGAACTTGTTCTTTGGTGGGATGGAACCAACACTGTAGGTTGGTTTCCGGCTAATCCAGACGTGAGTGGTGGTGCAGGTCAGAGTGTAAGCAGCTGGATGTGAAGCTGCTGTCATCAGGCTTGTCTCTGAGTGAGGGGTTTCATTTTGGAGAGTGGGGTATCTCAGTTTGAGAAAGGCCTCGCTGTGGCCCTCCAGGACAGGAGTTGTCCACCTCACGGTGAAAGGAAAGTGCAGTGCTCAGTGGGGGACTGTGAGCGTAATTACAGCAGTTTTGCCTCATTAAGAGTGAGGAGGCGTGACCCTGCCTACAGGTCTGACAGCTGAAACGCATGGATGACGGCGCTGAGCGATGATCTCAGGGATCGGTGCGTTTCAGGAGAGCAATCTGAATCCTGTTGTATGTGTGTATGTTTTGTGCAGATTAGATCCTATACTTGAGTTAAGTAGTGATACCACCATGCAAAAATACTCAGTAAGTTTAAGCCCTGCATTCAAAATGTTATCTTGGTACAAATCAGCTCAATGTTTGGAAATAATCAAAAGTTTACTCATTAGGCAGAAAATAGCCTCTGTGAGTGTCACATGTTGTCGCTCAGTGATTCTCAACCTGGGGGTCGGGATCCCTATAGGGGTCCAAGAATGAATCCAAGGGGCCCCTAGGGTATTATTATTATCTATATTACCATGCTGGGTAACCCAATGTTGCCTTGGTGCTTGATCCAAATTGGGGTCAGTATGATCATATTAAGTTCACGATGAGTCACTAATAAACATGGCTTCATTTTAAGGGGTCACAAGCCAGAAGTTGTCTTTTGTTTTTTTGTCTTTTTACAATGACAACAAATGGCGGATTCCCTTTAAAATAAGAGCCGTGTTGAGATGTTTCCTCCCCTGAGGGATGGATGGGGGACCCCTGGAGCTCATCCTGCATGCAGGCCAGTCCTGAGAGAAGACATATAACAAAACCAAATGATGAAATGAAATGAAATCGCATGCAAAGGAACACACACAGACACATACGCACACACACACACACTCACACACACACACACACACACACACACACACGTGTGTTCAGTCGATCCGTTTGTCGTTCAGTCGGGGTGGGGCATTTTTTTTGTCCAGCATGCCGTTGTCTGAGTCAGGATGGAGAGATGAGGATGGGGCATCCCACTCACCCTCTGCACGGCCGGAGACACTGCTGCTGTCATGGCAACAGCAGCAGTCACCACCGCCAGCATGGGCCTATAATGCACAGGCCAGGAGGAGTCACACACACACACACACACACACACACACACACACACACACACACACATTAAGATCACGACACACACACACACACAGGACACAAATCCAGATCCGAAATATGTGCAGTTTGTCGCTTCTTCACGAGTGAAAGTAAAATGATTATTTTGTTAAAAATGCATTTATCTATTTTCTATTGGGACAGATGTTGCAATAAAGACCTTCTCAAGAGAAACTTACTTTATCTCAAATTATTGGGTAACAGTATGTGCACCAAAGCACACAAATCTTCCATAAGTAGGCCTGAATAAAGTAAACTGTTATATGTGGACATTGTCTTTTAAAGATCATTTTTGTGTTTTTTAGAGGAAGTTTGCGTAATGACTGTATCTAACCCACTTTTTATTTATCTGCACATCTTTGGCCGCCTGTATCTGCAAAAAAATTCCTATTTGAAAAGGAAATTGTGAAATCAATGTTTTCTAGCATATTCTTCAGATAGCAAATGTTTTCTGCCCCCACCCTCCCTCACCTTCCACGTCTCCAAATCGGACATTTTCTCTCTGCGTTTGGGCAACATCACGCTATTTGTAAACCGCTGGCTTTGCCGCAAATTAAGCCAGTCACCAGTGCAATGCAGATATGACTGTTTTATTTACGGGATAGAAAGAGCCCACAGTGCAAACGCGATTCACATTCAAACAGGTGTGAGGAGCAGAAACAATCCCAGGTGGCTCATGCTGATCGGATATGTGACCATAGGAGCACATTGTGTGCATCTCTGCGCTTTTTTTAAGGGTTGAGCAACCCACATCCGAGAATAGTGTTGGCTGTTGAAAAAGTAGGTCGATAGGAACTGAGAGCGACGTTTGTTTCCACGCTTTCGTCTGTGTTCTTTGTTGTTTAGCGAGGACTGTGTTTTTTTTTTTCACATCCTACCATTTAGCGGAGAGCGTTTTACGCACAGGTGGGAGATACCCGCTCAGCGTACTGTAGGACAGCCCCCCTCTCTGCTCCTCAGCGGATGATGTGAGGAAGTGACATTTTTCATCGCTGCGGTTCGGGACAGCACTGCTCCGCTGCAAACAGGTGTGCTGCCGTCCGGGTCACTTTTGCTAGGAAACAACAGAGAGGCAGCGTCCCAAACCCGGAACCAAGCCTCATTCACACGGGACAGCGGAGACCAGAGGAGGAGGATCAACCCGGTCAAGTCTTTATTAGCCTGGGCTGTTTGAACGGGTTCAGACGGAGAGAGCGAGAGAGCGAGCGAGAGAGAGAGCGCGCGCAAGAGAGAGAGAGAGATGGCAACGAAAAAGGCGTGCGTGGATGCGCCCAAAAGGAGCCGGAGTCCGGTCGTGTTGGAGGCGGAGATGTTCAGTGAATTTCAGGACTGGTGTCTCCGGACATATGGAGACTCCGGTAAAACAAAGACCGTCACCCGGCGAAAATATAACAAAATCATGCAGACACTGTTGCAGAACGAGGAGTCGGATGGCGTGTATATCGACAACAGCCACATCAACGCCAAATTCAAATTCTGGGTGAAGTCTAAAGGATTTCAGGTCGGGACCAACGTGTTGGGAGAGCACAACAAGAAGGGAGCTCCGGGGAAACCCGTTCTATATGTCCCGGTCAAGACAACGGTAAAGTGTGTGTGTGTGTATGTGTGTGTGTACGCGTGTGTGTGTGTGTTTGACAGCGAGAGAACGTGCGTGTACACGCGCACTGATGTCCCATTGCCGCCTATAAGTTATTATTATATCAGGCTGCACACATGCACCTGTCACATGAAATAAAATGACAACTTATAATCTTTTGTCGTCCCGGCTCGCCCTCGTCTTTCTTGATAAAGCTTCACTTTGTCCACATCCCAACCAGAACAGCCCTGCTCTCATCCCTTGCTGCCATAGCAACGCCGGTGCCTTCTGGCAATTGCAATTGTAAAAGGTAGTATCGGCTATCATGCATAGCCTACATCTCACCAGCGAGGTTGAAGTCCTGTCAGCGGCACGCTCCTGGGTGCCAAAGCGCGAGATAATTGACTATTGACAGCATTTAGTTTGAACCGTGCTGTTCAGGTTCTCGTGCAGTCCGATGTGGTGATTCTGTGCGTGCGCGCGGGCGCGTGGATGCAACGGCATGTTCGTGGGTCGGGTAGCCTATGTCAGGGTACTCCAGTGTGTGATGGACTACAGGGCACGAACATCGACTAAGATAATGTCTGATTCACCTTTCTGTTGTGCGCTCAGCAGGTTTGATTGTAAGCGATTCATCAAATGACACGCGCCCTCACTGTCCCATCTGAACCGAGCAAACCGAACTGTGTCGCGTGCGTCGCCAATATTAGTTAGAGAGAACAAAGATGGGGCACCACTCAATACTCAAATATCTGTCTTTTTCATAAAAATGTGACTGCGTGGCAGACAGCCTCAGTGTTTGCACCCCACTTCTCATTGTCCTGGGCGGATCGGCTCGCAGGCACTCGTTGCTTTGGCAACACCTGTGTAGACCAGGATAGTCTGCCTCTGCCGCATTTTTTATTGTACATTAAGACATTAAGCCACCATAAGCCCGTTTAAGACTGTTTCCAAAAGAAACATTTTAAAATTAATTCGATGGAGTGTGGTAGCTGTGCGTAATTGGTGACCACGTGAGGGGCTGTGGCGGAAACAAAAGGGTCTGATTGGGACTGATAGCGACGTACGCCCACAGTTGGTGCTCAGACTATACTTCTACGTGTCTCTGGATGACGGGGTGAGATATTTATGCATTACTGGCGCTGCAGGTGTGTTTAGGGGTTAAATCACACATTCCTCTTTTAGATAAACATGAACATGGTATCTCTGTATGGTGTTTGGGCCTGCTGTGCCAGAAAGGAGAGAACCACCATTTTAAATAAGCGTCTTCAGGGAATAATCTCCCCCCCACCCGCCCTGCTGGGACAATCTCTCTCTGGACCTCACAGAGCAGAAACACATTTACTGGTAACAAGTGTTGGCCCCGATTACACTGAATGCTTTGATTTTGGTTTGAATAGCACTGATCCCTCCACAGGTGTTATACCTGTGTGAATGTACAATTTAGATTAAGGCCAACTGCCTTCACAGAACTCCTCTAATCTCCACTCAATATTATGTTTCCCTCTGGGCAAGAGGGCAGGTGTGATCTGTCTCTGCAGGTGCAGATGGGGCCTGTTGATTAGCTTTTGTCTGTGGCTCGTGTCATTTCTTGTCTATAGTCTTATATGTCCTCTTGTCCAATATATATTCTAGCATCCCCCAGGTGAGCCTGTTTTCTCTGTGAGTGAGGCCCATCCAATATGAAATAGTTCCCCGAGGTCTGTTCAAACCATTGGGGAGGCTGAGAAAGTTGTGCAGAAAAAGTGTAGCTGACTGTTTATTGGAGAGGAGTGCACACTCTTCAGCTATTATCATAAGGAAGGGTAAATCATCCCCCTGACTCAGCTCCACTTGAGAAATTCAAACAACAAACATCAGCCAACACAAGCTGCTTCTAATGATGAGTCAGAGGCAACAAATCCACCTATTAAAATGCATTTGACTGTATTAGAAAGCAGAGTTTTTCATTCACTCTTCGTCGGCTTTATAAATAGGCCGTCCTGGGCCAGTGGAAAAGTGACACACGAGCAGACGCACACACACGCACACACACACAATGGTCACTGGCTCCTCGTATGGCTGCAGGGCCGGGGGCGTGTCTCTGGAGCTCCAGCATTGGTAGCCCTGCTGCAGCTGCTCCTAGGGTGTGCCAAGTTTCTGTATGGGGGCAGGCATGGGGCTAAATGACAGGAGGCTGGGTGGGGGTAGGGATGACGGTGGCTGATGTGCAGACAGAGAAGGTCTCTTCTTCTGATGCATACAAGGCTGCTTCAGTGTGTGACGGGACAGAAAGGCAGGCCACAGTATAGCACACACTCAGTGTAGATGCCTTCCTTTTGAAGCCCGACACAGAATCCCTTCTTTCTGTATTTTCTCTGTTCATCTCTGTCCTCCCAGCTCGTGCTGTCTGCACAACTCAGTGCCCAGAGAATCCAGCAGCCCTCAGTGTGGAGATGTTCCCTCGTTTAGCTCCCATTATGTCTTGATTAGAGGACGCCACAGAGGAGGAGGGGAACGGGACCAGGAGCAGACACAGAGATGACTGAGCACACATACTTTATCGAGACGAGGGGAGTCAGAGTGCAGCCACTTTTCAAAAGAGACTTTTAAACGCCCCGTGCGTTTCCTTTTTCGGCCGACATGAGCATTGTACTGACAATTTTGAAGTACTACGAGCTGTTGCTTTTTGTTGCCATGCCAACTGAAATCTGTAAATATCTTTGTTCGTCGACACAACAAGGTTTGGTGGACATGCTCTGTCACACACACACACACACACACACACTCACACACACACACACACACACACACACACGCACACGTACCAGTTTAGAAAGACTTCACATGATGCTCAAAAGTTAAAGTTTAAGCGTGCTTTGTGGCCAAATATGGATATATTCAACATCAGCCTGTGAAACGCTTTATATTTTAACTTGTTGGTCCAAAACATTTATTACAATCTATCAGACCAAAAACAAATAAGTGTCCTAAAGCTAAAACGATTAACAGTCGCTCAGAAAATTAATTGGCAACTATAGGGCTGCAACTAGCAATTTATTATCCAGCTGTCAATTATTTTCTCATTTTAGTCTATAAGATGTTAGAATACAGTGAACAAATGTCCATAACAGTTTGTCAAAGCTCAAGGTGATGCTTTCAGTCCAAAGATATTCAATATAACTATCATATAAGACAAAAGATAACCGATATATTGACACGTTAAGAAGCCAGAAGCAGAGGAATTTATAAAAAGAATAGCTCAAAATAATCAATTGTTTATCAAAATGGTTGCAGATTATTCTCTGTCCATCAACTCAATAATAATAAAAATGATAATTAGCATTCAGACATTTTTTTCAAGCAAATTACAAAAAAATTCCGGTTTCAGCTTCTCAATCGTGATTTGCTGCTTTCTTTGTTATATGATAGTGAAGTGAATATCTTTGAGGTTTGATCATAAAGGATGCCGCCTCAATCTGGGAGGTTATAATCTGACATTCTATCAACAAAATGATTCATCGATTAATTGAGAAAATAATCAGCCTCAAAGTGACAGGACAGGATGAAATGAAACAGGATTGCCACAGAAAGAGGTTTTCTGAAAAGAGGATTTAATAATGCTATCAATTTACAAAATAAAGGTTTGTCTTGGGACGTCCTCTCCTCGTGTAGAAATCAGAAACCACTATTCCTAATCTGTGTCTTGGAAAATCATCCCTAAATGTTTGTGCTTCGCCGTCAGACGCGAGGAACATCGTCATTATTATCTGATTAATTAGTCCACGTTTCCCCTGAGAGGCCCTCTTTTGTGGAAGGGCCACAGAGTCAAAAGAATACTGGCCCTATTATTCAAGAGCATTTGCATTTATGCTATTTTAAAATCTCCGGTGCTTTTGTCTCGTCCGTCTCTGGCAGGGCTTATTAGGGGCAACACATGGGCTCACACTCGTGGATTGAAACGGCAAATGCTCACCACCCCAAACAAGAATAGTTGTTCTAGCCGCAGATGGATTGAGCAGAATTTACATTTGAGTCAAACTGAGATTCATAAAGACGAGACTTTACGTCCATGTTGTGTTCAGTGACTTACTGTAAATGGGTGATGGAAACTGTACTGCACGTATGTGGTAGTTTGAGTGTGTGCTCGTACAAAGAGGGGGTCGCTGATCGCATGCTCTGTGTTTCCTCCCTTCAGCACCCTCTCTGTTGCCATGGAGAGACCGTTCTTTGCTTTCCCATAGGAGGAGAAATTAACACCATTTTTAACTGGCCCGGGGGCCTCCCCCCCTGTGTGGGAGATAGTCTGAGTTCTGCTCCACACACACACACACACACACACACAGACTCTTTAAGACGGCAATAATCTTCCTACCACACCACTACTGTCATTTTTAATACCTTTGCCAGGCCAACATTTAACGAAGTGGGACAGTATGATAATAGCCTTAAAATGGACTCTGTGATGATGTATGTGCGAGTCATTTGCATACCATTTTGAGTCAGCGGCTGGAACGTCAACAGTGCTAGTCTGCCGGCGCTGGTGGGACTGTCTGTGTCTCCGTCTCGCTGGGATATTGTGGATGTCAGTCAAATAATGTTCATCATGGATGCAGCCCGGAGAGGAACACGCACGCACATGCACACACACACACACACACACACACACACACGCACACACACACACACACACACACACACAGATATGGGCGTCGGACATGAGGGGTAGAGCACCTAATGTGGATTTAATGACAGCGCTTCATGGATTTAGAAAAGAGAGGAGGATGACGAGGGTGAAAAGAAAATAAATAGAAGGGGGCGGGTTTTATTAAATATTTGGGGAACTTTGGAGGTAATAGTTTCTTTTATCTTAGTTTTCCTGTCATCTAAATCTTTATCTTGCACATTGAGCACAAACACACACACACAGACACACACACACACACACACACACACGCACACACACACACACAGAAGAAACAAGGATTGTACCATTTACATGTCCATTAGCCGTCACAGAGGGGGAGATAGGGCTGTAAAAGATGACCTGTTGTCACATTGGCAGTGAGATAATCTGAGTCATGAGTGGTGTTGACACAGCCATCTTTACTCTCTACTTGCCGAGTACACACACACACACACACACACACACACAGAAAGTACCTGAACACACATCACTCCTGCTGCTGCAACTTAAGCTACTTATTGTGCAGCCACCCTACAAAATAAAACACCCTCCTCATTTTTTGCTTGACTTTCAAAGTTAAAGCAAAATTTCTGCCTTTGACATTTTTGCACTCATTCACCCGTGAATTAAATTCCTTGTGTGGTGCATCTCTTCTATCTTTGCCGGCCTGTCTTTGTGACCCAGCTGCTTCCCGTGAACCTCCCCTCCTCCTCCTCCATCACCTCCTCCTCCTGACCTGCCTGTGTGCAGGACTGCTCCTCTTTCCCCTCTCTGCTACAGTGTGTGTGTGTGTGTGCGTGTGTGTGTGACTGCCAGCGGGGGTGGGGGCAGCCGACTCAACCCCTCCAGTCTCCTAGCAACAGAGCGGTTTGGTGCGGGACGGGGAGAGAGCGAGCAGGGGATGGGGGCTGGTTGTACAGTGGCATGGGGAGAGCAAAGTCCTACGGGATTAGAAAGACGGAGAGAAGGAGAAGTAGGAGGTCGAGGAGTTTTGCGGTGTTGTTGGCGATTAGGGATGCTGACATGTCTCCTTTGCTCCATAAAAATGGCTCGCTGCTGAGGAGACCAAATATCTACAGCGCTGTTCAACAGCTGTTCTCCTCTGAGATGCTTGAGCTACAAGCTCTGCCCGGTAGACATGTGCTGCACTTAAACACACACCACGCTCACGAATGCACACACACACTCAAAGCATGTCGTGTTTTGTTTGAGGTGAATGTTTAACTCCCTGTTGACTTGTGTTTGGAAACTTAAGAGCTTATCGAACCAGAGGAGTCCGAGCAGACCTTCAGGTGGATTTACAGTCAAAGAAATGCAGCTTTGCCTGCAACTTCACTCACTATGTTGATAATCTATCAATCGTTTGAGTCGTTTTTCAACATTCCTTAGTTACAGCATTTCATGGCTTTTCTCTGTTTTGCATCACTTTAAATGAATATTTGTGTTTCTTGACTGTCTGCCGCACTGAAAAGACATTTGAAGATGTCAGCTTGGGCTTTAGGAAATTGTGAAGGGCACTTTATAGCCCAAACGATTCTCAAGAAAGAAATTGATAATGAAAATAATAGTTACAGCCTGACACAAAGCAGACTTCAGCAGAATTAACTAAGCTAACTAAGGTGTAACACCAGTGGGCGGCAATATAATGTATGTGTGTGTTGAGTACATTCCCAGCAGAATATCCGGTGTGTGTATGTCGGATATTTGTTGGGGTAGAATTCAGTGGAGGATGCAGTAGTGATGTGGGTACACTGCACACCCCACAGTTGTATGAGATTATCTAAATCCAGCGTGAATGGACCTGACACCATTGTCCCAGCAGCAGCAGCAGCAGCAGCAGCAGCAGCGGCGGTGGTGGTGGTGATGTCACCGGGGGAATGATGATGATACCTCCAAGTGCGATAGATTACAGCTGTGATGATGAGGTGGAGGGTTGCTATCATTTCATTTATTATCATTACATTTAGCCCATGCTGACAGGGGAGAGTGGCTAGAAAGAACGAGGGAGAGAGGGCCGGATTAAAACAAACCCGCTCTGTGAGCTGGTTTTAGTTGCCATGGCAACGATCATTACCTCGCACTTGGGAGAGCAGGAGCAAGAAAGAGGATGAGGAGGAGGAGGGGGGGGGGGGGGGGAGGGGAGAGAGAGGGGGGGGGGGAGAAAGAAAGAGAGAAAGAAAGAAAGACGGGACGGAGAGGTATAGGGGATGAAGACATGGAGGAGAGACGGGAGGGAGGACGCAGTTGGGTGAAAACATGAAAAATGAAATGTCAATCCCAGGAAGTGTGCAGAAATGTCAAGGAGAGGACGGGGACAGAAGTGTGATTCCTCAATGCCGAGGGGACAACTTTTTGAACTCCGGACCCTCCTCTCACTCAAACAAGAAAAGATCACTCCCCACCTAGAACCCAATCTCCAGAAAATGTCAGAGCTTGTCTCATATCTGCGTGGAAGAGGTGCACTAAAAAAAACAAGTGAAGAAATGCCCCAAACCATTATTGTTTTTCATCTTTTGCTTGCTGGGACCCTTTAAAAACACCAGCAGGTGCATAATATTAAGATAAGATCTGGTGGAAAATGCAAAGTGTTTGTCAGGATCGAGGGGATGCAAGAGTTACTTGGAGAAAAAAATGGAGGCAGAAAGGAGAAGAAGAGCCCCATGTGGTGCTGCGGATGGAGGCTGTTGTCCTGGCGATCCCACTTCTATGGCGTGTCACATGACCCTTTGCCCAGCACACCTGCCCGAGAGAAATCAGTGGCAGTTTCTATGGTGACAGGGTCAGCAGTATGGGAGGCGGGATGCCTGCCAGAGGTTGTGGTAGGAGGGACTGTTAGTCTTGTACAGTGTCGGTGGTGTTATTTTTAAACATTGCAGAGATGAGGTGATGGCTGCCGACCCAGCCGGGCCGAGACTTCTCCACCCGAGAGAGACTTTCAAAGACAGAATGACTAGTGGACAAAACAAGACAGGTTGTTCCAGTGCTGATTAGGACACCTTGTGCAGATCTGTAACCACCTGACCCATGACTCATGTGACTCAAAGATCCTGCACACATCACGTGGATGCAGGAAGCTCCACTTGCAGCTATAATACATGATATAAATGATACACACATGTCATCTCTGCAAGCCCGAGGCGGGACATTAAACTGAACTCCATTGTCTGTCTGTGTTTTAGTGCTCGGATGGGAATTCGGCCCAAGACAACTCCTCTCTGAAGCGTGTAGCTGTGGTGGAAGACTTCTTCGACATCATCTATGCCATGCATGTGGAGATGGGCGCCGACCCGGGAAGAGCACCCAAACATGCAGGCCAAAAGAAGACCTACAAAGCGGTGGGTAAATCCAACCAGGTACCTGCAGGGTGCAGCTAACCCTGCTAGCACTGCTCATAGCAAAGCAAAAGGAAACATTGTCTGCACACTGACACTTGTAAACTCCCCCAAAAACATTTTTTTGTGAGACTTTTTTGTTGGTCTTTGCCAGAAAAACATCCATGTGAACAATAAACAGTCAATACTGTGTTTGGCTTACAGACACAGAAGGCTAATAGTCTACAGCCATGCTAACAGCTCAGTGACGCTGTATGTAAGGGCAGTGGGGCTTTGAGCTAAATGCTAATATCAGCATGATAACATGCTCGCAGTGACAATCAACGTTTCGATAGATATGTTTATGTTTTATAGATATTCTACAGTCAGTTTTTTTGTTACTGATGCTGTTTGTCTGACAAAGGCTTTGCATCAATAAAAACATTGTTTGGAAGCGTTCAAATTACAGGGTGCAGACAACAGCTCCTTTTCCTTTGTGTAAAAAGTGTCCCACAGCTGGAGTTAGCTAAAGTCAGCGTTCTTTCAGTGAGGCCAACCTTCTGGTGCCTTGCTAAAGGCACGTTAAATTTAGCCCTCCAAAAAAAAAAAATGTCTTCTTGTCTGTGAAAGACAATAGGCTATATGTCTCAGCTCTGGCAACATAATGTATAACATCAAGAGTTACCAATGGAACAAGTAACTACCGATACCAGAAAAACAAAGTACTTATGGTGCTCAAGAGTTTAATGGTGCCTCATGATTGATGTCTCGAGAACAAAGGCAGTCAGAAATATGAGTTTATGTTGCAAACGGAGGTGTGGTTTCTGGTGGTGTCCTGACAGAACTAGGGGCTTTGTATGCAGCTCTTGTTGCAGCATTGTGGGGGGTTTTAGCAGGACTCTGGTACCCCCCTCAGGATTGGAAAAAAAATAATCATAGAGCCTCTTCCTCTTGCCCTGTAGAGAGGTCCTGTCACGTCTCATAGAGTGTACCCTTTTGAGGAGGCAGCATCACTGGGGCAGGGCATAATATGGAACTGTCACTGTGGCCTTCTGGGAGGTGCACGCTCCTCTGGGTGGCCTTTCCCTCTCAGCTGCCTCAAGGGGCCGGGAGGGTAGGGGTGGGGCCATGAGGGTAGAGGTGGGGGGTGGGGGGGGGGGGGGCGGCAAAGGGAACGGGGAGCTGTGGCAGTGGTGATGGTGGGCCGGTGGGGGTGGGCACCCCTGCTGCCTCTCCATGGTCACGTGAAGGTCGCATTTTACAGGGAAACGCCAGAGGGGGTGAAGAGGGGAGGGTGGCATAGCAGTGGAGACAAACAGAGAAGGAAGGCTGAGCATGAGAAAGAGGTGTAGATATGAGTCGACTGCACCTGAGAGAGCAGGAAGAGAAAGATGACTAACACTGATTGTTTAGATTATCAAAGCAGAAATACGCACAGCTGGAATTAGGCCACTCGAAGGCACGAAAAAATGCCTAAAGGCAGAAATCCTCCTCATGCCACATCCAGATGACACATTATCACTGACCCCAAACTTTCACACATGCACAGTGCAAAAAAAAAGAACCAAATGAAACCGCTGCACACACAGTTTGAGTTCACAGCCTGAGCCATGACTGCTGCCATTTTTGTTGCTATAACCCAGTCTCCTCTGCTCGCTCCCCCGGCACAGATAGCAGAGACCTACGCCTTCCTGCCCAGAGAGGCGGTGACTCGGTTCCTAATGAGCTGTGGAGAGTGTCAGAAGAGGATGCACATCAACCCGAGCACTGCAGAGTTCAAAGGTAATGGCACACATCTGACCTGTGGAGGGCTCGCTAATTCTGGAGACATCATTAACTGATATGGTATTTTTGAGATCAACCTTTAAGAGCGTAAAGCTCAGATCCTTTGACATACTGACATGGAAAAGGGGTTAATTACAATGCTGCAATGCATGCTGGGATGGTAGAAACCAATCAGGCTTCTACTGCAACAGCCAGACGTTAACGATTTTGTGAAATAATTTTGTCATAAGATTCATAGAAATGTTTATTTGGTTAATCACACAAGATAAAGGTGAGTTCTCTATTGTCCTGTCACACACTAAATATGAGCTGATGTGATTTTAGGTCTTTTTTTTACGCGTAAGGGTTTTGATATCGAACCTTCATTAATAAAACATGTTGTGTATATATCCATCATGGGCATGCTGTAACAAAGACCCAAGAGGACCACATCTCTGGGATTGTATATACCCACTAAAATGATCACAGAGTCCCTCTAGTGGCCGGTGTGGAGACTGCAGACAGCTCTCAGACACTTTGTTTGATGTTTTAAAATCATAGAAAAAAGATGCTCCTTATAACTTCAGAACTTGCCTGAGAATAATCACATTTTTGAGTTTCCTTCAGTATCAAAATAATCCAACAATAGTTGTATGTATATCCATAGGTACATTTCAAACAGGACCTGCATGGTAACAGCTAATTCGGCAAACATTCATTTGTGCCAATTTAAAGCATGGGGGTGATTTTAGTTTAAATTGTAAAAGTTAGCAAAGACGTTAGATAAATGTAGTGGAGTGAAAAGTGCAATATTTATATTGACTGTAGAGGAGTAGAAATATAAAGTAGCATAAAAAGGAAATTCTCAAGTCAAGTACCTCAAAATTGTACTTGAACAAAGTATTGGAATAAATGTTGGCTACTTAGTTACTTTCCACAGATCCAAAGTCCAGAACATTTTAGATTTACTGAGGAATAGTTCTAACTTGATTCATCGTCCTGCATCTATGTTTTTTAGATATCAAATGATCAAAAAAGTTTGATTCTATTTTTTTGTAATTTGTGTGTTTTTTTACTCTCTATTGTCAGAAAATGACAGACCCACCTCGCTGGTCCCGGACCTCATTGATTACAACATGCCTCTCACTGCCACCTACCTGAAACAAATGAAGCTGCAATGCATGACAGCCACTGAAAGGGTAAGTTCCTTTTTTTCTGCAAAAGGGCACAGATACATGTGCCCTGATGGATTAATCAGAAAATCAATCACTGTTAACATCTCCTTTTCACCATGTTTGTATTTGTATTGATTTGCACAAATCCTCGTGGTTAATGTTCTTTTTAGTCTCATGGAGGCTGTGGGGAGAAACACTTAGTGCAAGCAGAATAACACATCCCTCCTCTAAACTTTTAATTATTAAACATTCAAAGCAGTCCTCCTGCTGGGGGGAGGAGCTCAGTGGGAAATAAGGATTAGTAAATCATCTGCATGACGTCATGGGTGAGACCACTCCCATGTGTGGCTGTGACAGAAACACTCAGAAACCACTGTCAATAAAGTGCAGAGAGCGCTGCTTGATGATGATAATGTAGAACCTCACTCGCGCATAATTAGGATTATCCGGAACAATGACCTAGACTGTGATTTGCGGGTGAGTACAAATTAACAAATGCTCAGAGTGTTGGTCACATCTGTGTGCAGACTGGGAATGATCAGGGCCAATAATTTAATAATTAACCATCCCAGAGGGTTATCTCAAGTGTTGTAGGAGACTTGTAGTGATTTGTTCCATATCTCTTCACAGAACAGTTCAAAGCAGCAGTTGGTTTAAAATGCAGCAGGTTTCTTCTGTTGACAAAAGCAGATCAGTGGAGAATGTGAGAGTGTGTACCTAGTGTGCTGCCAACTGTTTGCTTGTTGTTTTGCAGAACTTTGGTGATTGTTAAAGTACAACTCCGCCTTTCTCTTTGACATATGGTAAAGAAACAAATTACATATGGTGACAAAAACATGCCATATATCTATCCTTCTCAACCAAACATTCTCACTGTTACATAACTCAGTATGACCATTTAGATTAGATACACGCATAGTTATAAAATCACCACTAAAATAGGCTCTGCAACTAGTGATTGTTGGTCCGAAAAACATCAGAAACAGAAATACCAATCAAAATATAATCTCCAGATTGCTTCTTCTGTCCATGCATTATTATTATACTTTCAGTTGCATCGACTTCTTATGATGTATTTTATGGTGTGTTTGTACATTTCTTCTACCAACGTCTAGGAAGTTTATTCTATAAGTAAATTCTTTGCTAACTCTTTTTGATAATGAACCCTTTCAGAAGTAAATCCCCAGACTTCATGAATTATATACTTTTCTAAAGCACAGACATTAATGATGCTTGAAACGACGTAATTAAAGACTCCCTCTCGTGTCTCTGTCTCTCTCCCTTTAATGCTACGTGCTCACTTGGTACCTAATGGAGTTGTCACAGAGCATTTTGGTCCTCCTCAAAACCTTTACAGAGGGACAGATGCATGTTCCAAAGAGTTGAGTGCTATTTGTCTGCTCCTGTGGCAGGAATGAGACGGTCGAGATGATATTTCCGCTCTGTTCTCATCACACAGTCGTAGTTTTGCTCCCCTTTCTGCCAGCTGACAGAAGAGAGGTCACTCATTTGTGTCAGCATGATGTGAACTGGCTGCTTGTTGCTCTGAAATGTGCTCATGGCTGTTAAGCAGGTATATATTTTCTGTAGTTTGGAGCCAAAGCTTTTGAATAGTTTGTGAGATTATTCCGCTGTCCTTTGCTAATCCTTACCCTCGTAGTTTACTCATATTTGTGTTACGCTACAACAAGCATCCTTAGGGTCTCTACGTAACAGAGTTAAAAATAGCAGCGCTCCAAGAAACATAACAGGGAGCCCCCTGCATTTCTTTCTGAGCCAGACTTTGGCACGTTCTAAGATTTATATCAACAAAACCTCACGACGGGTTTGTACATTGAAAGCATTATTGGCGGTGTTTGATCCTCCTGAAGCTGTTGCGATGCAGTGATGGGGGACTAGATTCACGGTCTAAATGCAAAGCTCAGCTGAAGCTGATCATCCCTATGACATAGCTCAGTGGAAGCATAAAGAGGGAATTTCATGCTAAAAACACAGGAATGTATCCACTTCATTTGTGCTTTAAAATGGACTGTGGATTTTATCCCCCATCAACAATATTAACATATTGAAGGCATTTCATTTGTGGCTTGTCTGGACAGCAGGATCAATTGCACCAATAGTAACCGCCGGTATTGCTTTAGAATAAACTAAAAGTGTGAACCTAAGATGCAAAAAGACACAGTGAAAGTTTCTTCTTCTTCTTCTTCTTCTTCTCCGTCTCTTTATCTCTACGGGACAAATGGGAAACTTAACGATATTTCTCCTGACACTCGGGTTCACATCCAGGTTTCCCTCCTCGTCTCACAGTCTCTGCCTTTCTACCCTCAGGATGACAGTTCGGTGAGCAGCGAGGACATGAACGGTATTGAGCCGACCTGGGTCGCAGCTGAGCCGCCACCAGTGCCTGAGCCCAGTCCACCTAACGGAGAGAGAGTCAGCAACCCGGCAGCCCTCATTAAAGAAGACGATGGTAAAACATCGCTAACTGTAGACATCTTGTACTGGTTGATACTGGTTTGATGTGTTTTTATCTGTTTTTGCTTCTTTTTAGTTGCATTTACATCTGGAATCTAAATGTTTATTCTCTACATGCGAAGGGTACAGATTGAGGATACACAGGAAACAGCTTGCCTTGTTCTTAGTGCACTAATCCACATAAATCCACTCTTACAGGGGGTGGGACACCACCGCATCCCCAATCCATTGTGCACACCTCTCTCTCAGGGTACAAGGCTTAGAGAAGTAGGACAAAGGCCAACATTAACCTTTACAGATCAGGCACCACTATAGAAAAAACATTGAAATATAGAATGACTGTCCTTGTGAACATAGGTGTGCATGTGACGCATGTAGAAATCATCACAATAAAATCAGTACATGGCCATAATGTGGGTTAAAAAGCTGTAATTTGCACTCACCAGGAAGTGAAGGCTCCCTTCCCCCATCAGCCCCTCCTCATTCTCATTTATTTTTCTCTTCGCTGTTAGAACTCAGAAGAATCCCCTCTTCTCCCCTAACTTTTATTTATCTTGACAGTTGACCCCAATACCCACTTCCCCAACAGTTTCAGAAAACACAACATGAGGCAGGATGTCCCATCCCCCTGTAGTCACCCACCCACTCTGTTGTTATCCAAGACAAAAATAGTGCCTATTGTAGTAAACAAACCCACATGGATGCAAAATGATGACAAGCATCCGCACAGCTCATCTCTGTATCTTCTGTTGCATCTCCTTCTGCCAGATGACGTCTCCTCGGAGAGCGGCAGTGCCAACGGGCTGCCGGCCCTGACCTCCCCTGAGGCGCTGGCTGTGGGTGGGAACCCCCCAGATGGTGGGGCCCCTTACGGGGAGGTGACAGAGAACGGGCTGAGCGCTCCCCTGGACTTCAGCACCACCTCGCCGTCGTCCACCTCTGAGGATCAGCAGCCGGTCAATCTGAGCGACAGACTGCTGCCGGTGGGGAGCTCGCCACCAAACTCTTACCCCGCAGACCCCAACAGGAAGTACCCCATCAAAACAGAGTACAACAACAAGGTAAGAACAGAAACGTGACTTCATCCTACTCGTGAGGAGCCAACCTGGGAAAGCGCAGCTCGTGAGTCTGTATGATCTGTAATAATCTTTTTGGTGTATTTCTGTGTGTTTTCAGTCCCCTCCTTACAGCTCAGGGAGCTATGACTCTGTGAAAACTGAACTGAGCATGAGCGCTGAGGACTTGACCTCTGGTCGGGCACAGATAATTGACGACGACGATGACGATCATGACGACCACGATGACAGTGACAGGATCAACGACGCCGAGGGTATGGACCCTGAGAGACTCAAAGCCTTCAATGTAAGTAACCCGTCTAAATGGTGAGAATGCAAATCAGTCCTGTTGAATATCACCCAGCCTTGCTGAACTATTGTCATTATGCGTATATTGTACTTTGAAATATTAAAAAAATCTCATATCCTGACTTCATATAGGCACATACTCAATGCTGCCTATTTATTCTGTGAAAAACACCATCAGTGCATTTCTGAGTCTAATGGAAACGAATACAGTAGAGTTGCAGAAATGCAACCATGAGTGAATAAGCAAACACTCTGAATATGAGCAATGATTCAATTTCCACTGCTCCTGTTTTCATCACCTCCCCCTCCCTCTTTATCCTCTCTTCCTCCACTCTACTTCTGATGCTCCCCCATCCCCTGCCTTCCCTTTCCTCTCTTTTGTTTTCGACTCTCACACCCCTCTCTCTCTCCACCCGGCTCCCCCCACTCCATTTTTCTGCTCTATATCCCCTCTTACCCCTCCCCCACTCTCTCTGTCTCTGTCAGATGTTTGTGCGTCTGTTCGTGGATGAGAATCTGGACCGCATGGTGCCCATCTCCAAACAGCCCAAGGAGAAGATCCAAGCCATCATCGAGTCCTGTAGCCGCCAGTTCCCAGAGTTTCAGGAGCGCTCCCGCAAGCGCATCCGCACCTACCTCAAATCTTGCCGCCGTATGAAAAAGGGTGGTTTTGAGGTACAAAGTGCCTCCAGCTAAAATGTATTAATTAAATCGGTAGTAATCCAACATGCAATCATGAATCCCAATAAGTCCAGTGTTTCACATTTCATAATGTGCAAAAATCTTGCTGACCCCTTCTGGCAGATACGACCAACACCTCCTCACCTCACCTCTGCCATGGCTGAGAACATCCTCGCTGCTGCCTGTGAGAACGAAACCCGAAACGCTGCCAAGAGGATGCGGCTCGATGTCTACCAAGCGGTAAATGTCTTGGCAGTTGATGTTTGTGAATTTGCCCAGCAGGGATTTTGGGAATGTGCTAGGATGGCTATGCATCATTAACGGCAAACTGCACAACACAAACTACAATATCCTCCCCCAAAACTGAAAACATTTAATTTCTCACAGGATGAACCTGCCTCTGTTGACAAGACCAACTCGAGGGACTCGGCCTCTGTGGCCCCGTCAGGGTTCACCATCTCCAGCGCAGCTTTTGCCCAAGACCAGCTCTACACCAACGGAGGCCTCAACTACAACCTGCGGGGATACGGGACAGGCGGCAGCAACCAGCAGAACTCTGGTGCTGCACACACCAATGGTGAGGAGCTTTTTGCAACCAAACAATGAGGCTTGAAGAAGAATTATTAATGCTGTGTATTTAGAAAGAAAGGATATTCACCACATTGCTCCTTTTAATAAAGGGTTGGTTCATGCAACTTACAACAACGCAAACATATTTTCTAATTTAAGTCTCCACCTCAGAGATTCCACTTTTATATGATTGCTGCCTTCAAATTTAACCCGAGAGCTCGTGGTTACCACATGGGAAGTCACAATATGCTTGACGTTTAAGTGTTTAATTCGTGAGAACACTGCTGCTAGGCAAGGGCAGCATGGACGCCAAAAGCCACCAAGGATAACAATTTAACAAGCTAGTGAGTGGGTAATGTTATGCAGGAAAAACAAAGGCATAATGAAAAGATGACGCCATTGGAATATCGACATTTTCCTCAGACAAATATAATTATAATTACGACTAAAATTACAATATATCAATCACCATCCAAAGTCAGCATGCACGAGTCTCCTTTTCGTTGAGATATTGAGCTCCTCGTTGATGCATCTCTGAAATACTAGAATTTTTGTTCTGCTACGTTCAGGGTATTTAATTTATACCTCGACATAATGAAATTTCTCAGGTTCCTGGCCCTTTTTCCATGTCATGTGGTGTATCTCCTACGTATATTGCATGTTTTAAAAAAAATCTTTAACCATCACAATTGTGTCTGCAGGTCCCACAGATCTAAGTATGAAGTCAGTCGGCCCAAACTCCACCTCCTCCAGCTCCAACAGTCACGGTCAGGGAGGTGGCGGTGGTGGAGCTTCGGCTCAGCTCAGCCCTCCGGAGGTCACGGCGGTGAGGCAGCTCATCGCAGGATACCGGGAGTCCGCAGCCTTCCTGCTCCGCTCAGCGGACGAGCTGGAGAACCTGATCCTGCAGCAGAACTGAGTCCGAGCCAAACCTTCTCACAGCCTGCCCATCTATGTCGCACTCGGTCACACATCTCCGGCCAGATGTTCATACAAAGACACAAATGTATACGAGTGATACTGCAGCGCACAGTGGGTCCAGTAGGTACGGTACCTTTACTTATTCCCACGTTTTAATGTGTTTGGACGGGCCAGAACATATCACAGGCTGACAAATGTTTATTTATGCATTTGGTTCACTTTGACCTTAGTGCCCTGTTATCTGTAGCCATTCATCCCATTCAGTTCATTTTAAACCCTTCAACCTCCATTCGTCTCAGGAAGCGATGATCTATGTGAAAGAGTTATCTTCATTGGTGCACAGGGGAGAACCAGAACCTTAAATTAGCTGTGACCATGACGCCACATTGGCTCGTTTATGCAGATGTTTGGCCAAATTACAAGTTAAATGGCAGCGATTTATTATCATTACCTTCTTTCTATTTTTACACAAATATAAAACATGCTGTACAGTGGCATGATCTGATTGGGTCGTCTGAATCGAGTCATTTCTCGACGATAATTCTCTCCAAATTCACTTTTGTCTCATGGCAAGTTTGGAGTATTGCTTTCTGAAAGTCTGCAGATAAATCGCTGCTAAATCCACTGACCTCAACAGCTATTAAAGGACGGGCTGACTTAAATATACGCAAAAAAGCAAAGAAACAGGACAGTGTTCGACAGTTTTGACCTGAAAAGTTCGACCAACAGATCGGTGAAAGCTATACCTCGGTCCTGCTCTGGTGGAGTGGTTTCCAGAATCTTAGACACGATGGTTACTAAGAGAGAAAAGACTCATTACCCAACGTGACTTTATTTATTATATTATGAATATTTCTATCACGGTCAACTTCTCATTACTTAAAAACGAAAGGAGGCTTTTACGAAGCCTGGGTATGCAAATTGAGGTCACAGACACCTGTCAGGGAAACAAAGGAGATTAATATATTGTTTAGACTCTTGGTTTATAACCAGTGCTTCTGGAAAAGAGGAAAATGGTGCAATATTGAAGATAATCAGTAATGGTGTGCTTACTGAAATGACTCTCAGACTTGCTGAAGCGTTTTAAGACAAAAAGACAGAGAACTTTACCACAATCTCCTCTGGCTGTAACTGTCAAGTTATATAAAAAAGAAGAACCGATATCCCATGCAGCATTGTAGCCAATTTCAATGTTGTTTGTTGTGAATGGCGATCTTTATCGCGAACCTCATAACTGAGGCACTTTCATGTATTGGGATCAGTCATCCGTAGTGGTAAACAGAAATGGGACCTGGCAGAAAAATGAGACTTAATGTTGCACGTCTTCATTTTCTTTTTTACTTTAAAGTGAGTTTTTGGGGTCTTTTTGTGAAGGAATCGTCCTGTGAGTATTTTGTAAGTTAAAAAGGAGCATATTGAGCTCACATGCATCGGTGTAACCCTAACATCCATGTGGCTTTACTGGATGTAGTGTGAGTGTGTGTGGGCTGTATCATCCCCTCTGACCTCAGCTGTGTCAAACCCTCGCTCTCATCTCCATCATATAGATGTCATGTCTGAAAACACACTGTCTGAAAAGAAGCAAGAGACAATCTTTGAGAAAGATGTAATCGCATCACAGTTTACTCTCCCAGCTTTCTGCAAGTGTGTGTGTGTGTGTGCGTGTGTGTGTGTGTGCGCATGTGTGTGTGTGTTGGTGGTCTGAGGGCACACAAGAGTACTCAAAGCAGATCTAGAGCACAGTCTCACAACAGACACTTTTAATGATGAGTCACTCGGCACAAAAACGTGTAAGTGTGTGTGTGTGTGTGTGTGTTTTTAATACCTTTTTTTTGTTGGTGTAAGTGTTGGTATTGACAGTATGTTTGTGGTTTTCTGTTTGTGTATAAGTGGAGTGACCCAGTTTGTACCACATCAATCTGTGAAGATTTAATTCAGTAGGCTGAAACATTCCAAACAAGGACAATGACTCTTCTAGCAGCCGAAAAGTGGCTCGCACCTTATTGATTAGTCAAAGTTTAGAGAGATATATTTCTGTATTTATCACAAATCTTATCAAATTTATCAGTTATTTATCATGAATCAGTCTATTTCTCACCACCACTTGGTCTAGAGTTGGATTTACATGCTAAACGACTATTTCTCATTTTTATTCCCATGTCATGATTGGGATGCATTACATTTAAATTATTTTTAACTATTGCAAGTTTGGAAGCACTTTATAGCTCAGGATTAAGGTAACATAACAGTGATTTGAGTGCGTCTTTACCTCATTTGGATTATCAGCTTCAGTTCAAACATAGCAAGAACTGATTATGACAAAGGACAGAAGCAGCGCTCATTCTGCTTTATTGATGAAAAAAGCAAATAACTCTTTTTTGAAAAACCTTATGAGCTCAGTTTGAACTCATTGCAGAGGGGTGTGTCATAAAGAGACTCAGAAAGGCTTATTGTCAAAAGTCTGTCGCAAATTAGCAACTGGAACCAGGATGAATCTGTTTCATAAAGCTGGTTTGGAGCTGAATCTGGTTTATTTCATAAAGAGTGGCTCGTAGTGATGAACCTGCAGAGAAGTATCCCCTGTATCTGCAGCTCCCTTTGACTTTTTACAGAACTTTAAAGTGAGTTTTGGCACATTGTTTGGTTGTTTGCAAATCATGCGAAACGTTTTTGCCACCCAAAAAGCCACTGTACACTACCTACAGTCAGCGACTAGCCGGTGAACATAGTGCAGCCATTAGCAGCTAAAGAGACAGATATTTCCCTCAGTAGATGGTGGAGACCAAAAACAAAGCTTAAACAGACAAATTAATGATAATGTTACTTTCTTCATATCTGCTTAATATTTAAATAAGCAACTGTTTGATAACAAGTTCACCATGTCAACTTTAAAAAGTGATGATATGTCAATATTGTGTTCACAGCTTGATCCCGCTGCATCCGAGTGACCAAAAGAACATCTGTATTTGCAGTTTTAAGTTATCAGTTGGATTTCTTGACACAACCAAGTGACACAACCGCTTTAATTTAGTTGCAGTGCAACATACATTGACTTTAATCCGGTGAAGGTTGACCGATTCATTGTAAAACACAGTTTAAGCCTGAGCTGGAGCTAAGCTTTTAGCTTCAGTTTAAGCCTGAAAGCTGGAATACGCCTGCTTCAACCGCTTTATGAAACACCCCTCTGGGCTCAAACAGACGTAATCATAGATGTACGTGGGACCCGAGTCCTCACACATGTCTTCCTTGTTTCCTCCAACCTGCTCGCTCATCACTGCAGCCACAGCCGATCCTCACACTTCACGCCAAACTCAGTGATGTCCTGCTGTCCCATTCTCACAACCAAACATTAGCTTGCAGATTTGTAAACTGTCTTAAGTCTACGCTGAGCAACATTTGTGCTGAAGTTACTGTGATCACCGACAACCACTTGTTGTCATGTTGTTGTTTTGTTTTTCTAAAAATGCCCAATGGATTTTCTCTTTGTATTGACTAGACAATGTAATCTATTGGTGTTAAAATGCCCTGGTAGCTTGTGGATTGCTTAAGTGGTCAGATAAATGTACTGTATAGCTGTACAAAGAGTGATAAAAGATGTTTTAAACCTTTTTTTCTGTGGGTACAGCACTGTAAAAAAAAAGAAGAAAGAAATCAAAGTGCTTTTAGCCTTTGCTTGTTTGAACTTATCATTTGGTGGTGGTCTGTATTACTTCTATTGTTATTTATATTATTTCAATTGTTGCCTCTCCTGCACTGATACGAGACTGTAGCTCTGTGCAGGAGGTTGTACTGTAAACCTGTGTGAAGCTTTGTATTCCCCCTCTGGTTTTGGACTCAGTGAAAGTGTGATGTTTACATGTACAGTTTTTCAGAATACATTTGTGTTTTATTCAGGCTATATTTTCTTTTCCTCACCTATACCCTAAATCTGTGTACATTTGGCCAGATGTTTTTCTTTTTGTTGTTTCATTGCATCAAAGTGCAGATGTGACCCCTTTGACTTCTTGGTCATGCGGTCATGAAGCGTGCCGTGACAGCTGGATCGGGTCGGCTCGATGTTGTGGTGGCTTTCAGCATTTTAAAAAAAAGGTAAATATTAAGTAAAAGGGAGCTTCACAACTTCTCAAAGTGGACCAGCAAAGATATATTAAGGATCAACTTTAATCAACTGTTTTAGAATACTATTGTGGCCTAAATGGAGATCGGTGGGGTGTAGGTACATTTATTATGTGCTCAGAACCTTTTAACGTCCCGGCCGTATTGTCAGGGGAAACTCCTTGTCCTTAACCCGACTGGTACCCTGAAAGGTACACTTTGACCTGTTGTAATATCTCCTCGGTAACATAAAGCCATTCCCCTCTCCTGGCCTTTTTAAGGGGAACCCATAAACCTCAGGAAATACTGAATCTCCAAGTTTAGTTTTTATCCAGTGATTTCTTCTGAAATGAGATTTAAATCTCTTAACGAAAACCATTAACATTTATATGAGACGTCTATTGTTTTGTACATTCATCATTGTGATTTAAAAGTGGAACTTTTTTCCAGTACCTGTGACCTAATAGTTTGATTTTTTTTGGAGTGTTTATAGGTATGGATATTTATTATTATATGTGAAACAAAAAGACAAAAGAAAAGGGTTGAACCTGTTTCATTTGTATGTTTCATGCAAAACTGTCCAGGTGAGATTCTCTCTGCCTCTTACATATCACTGATGAGGGACCTGTGTTTGTTTGGAAATAGCGCTTTTTCAGTGTTGCATCAACGCTATGAAAAAAAAAAACAAAAAAAAAACACCAGTGGTTTACCAACAGCAGAGCTCCAAGGCGCTCCTCTTCTCCTGAGATGTCAGTAATTGAATAAAACAGTGCGATGAGCCATCAAGCTGAGACCTCACTTGTTTCCTTTTTTCATAATATTTGTGTCAGAGCAAAAATAAGTTTTTTCAGCTCAGTGTTTTCAGGAGTGACTTTCTTTGTCCACAAGAGGGCAGCTGGATGCAGTGGGAGTAGGTTAACAGTGCATTGAGACCATCACTGTGTTTTGTTACAGCTTTATGCTTAAATGGTTTAACTTAAATGACAAAGCAAAAACAGCTGTTTAGATTTTTTGGGGGGGCAAATGTATTTAATAAACACATGCTTCCCCATTGGGAGGGTGATGAGCGGCACCTGGTTTACTCCAGACACGACAAAACGGTTCACATCAGACCAGAGTTTTGTTTCTTGCAGTCTGAGAGTCCTTTAAAGAGCTTTTTTTTTTGCAAACTCCAAGCAGGCTTTCACTGAGGAGAGGCCTCCTTCAGGACCCTCTGCCATAACACGCAGATCAGTTTGAGTGTTCCAGCTTGTCCATCTGGAAGTTTCTACACAGAGGATCTCCGGAGCTCAGTCAGAGTGCACTTGCTCAGAGCCCTGCTTGTTCCAGACTTCTTCCATTTAAGAATTATGAAGGCAACTGTGCTTCTGGGAGACTTCAAGGAGCAACGTTTTATTTGTAGCCTTCCCCAGATCTGTAGCTACCTCAGCACAATCCTGCCTCTGAGCTCTGCAGGCTATTCCTTCAACCGCACAGCTTAGTTTCTTGGCTCTGATGTGCATCGTCAGCTGTGAGACCTTAGACAGGTGTGTGCCTTTCCTCATCAAGTCCAATCAGTTGAATTTAGCACAGGTGGACTCCAATCAAGGTGTGGCAACGTCTCAAAGATGATCAAGAGAAACGGGAGACACCTGAGCTAAATGTCTGAATACTTATGGAATATTCTTTTTGATAACTTTGCAAACATTTCTAAAATGCTGTTTCACTTTGTCATTATGGGCATTGAGTGTAGATTGATTAGTGACAAAAATGATTTTAGCATACGGCTTCAATAAATTAAAATGCGAAAAGAAATTGCATGGATCTGAGTACTTTATAAATGCATTGTATCCATAAAAATACACACAATATGCAAGTATAGTGAAAGGGAGAACTGTGCATTTATGGATTGAAAAAGCCCAAAACAAAGTAAACATTAATATATGTACATTACTGTTCTTATGAGTGTTTCTATAGTTTGTCTTTTCACACCAATTACACAATGTTAGCATTCTGTTGTTTAGCAGGCATAATGTTTACCGTGTTCATCATCCTAGTTTAGCTTGTTAGCATGCTGCTAATTCGCACTAAACAACAACAAAAAGATCTGAGTCTGATTGGAAGGTAAGTTGCAGGTTTTGGGTCACAAATCAAACCATTTTCACCTCATGGTGGCACTAGAGGAAAGTTTTATGGATCACTCAAGTTTTTATAATTTATCCTGAGGTGAACATGAAAACATGAAGTCAAATGTCTTGGCTCGGCTCATGCAGCTTTGGGAAGACTTACAGCTGACTCCACAAACAGATTCTCTGTCTGAGTAAAAGAACGTAGTGTTCCAGCAGATCAATATTCTCACACAGTGAAAACACAACAGCAGTGACCTCATTATTCTCTTATTTATATGACTAACTGGACAATTTCAGACACAGTTACAATGATAGCTTGAAACATATTTTGAAAATACTGATTAGTCATTTCTAAGTCTTTGGCAGTCGTGGAAAAATAATTTAGGTCTTTTAATTTGGTAAAGTATTCAGTATTCTCTTAATTGTAGTAAAGTCAAAATGAAAATGGCATGAAATAAAAAAATACCTTAAATTTGAATTTCGAGGGTAACTTTGTGATTTTTCAACCTTATTTTTTCATGTTGGGTGTGAAGTGACGAATATGGAGAATAGCTGGAAGCTGCTAAACGAGCTGCAATTCAATCACTTGAGGTAACACCGAATTTACGTCCACTAAAATTGTTATTTTAAGCGTCAGACAACATTATGGATAGAAGACCATAGAGGGCTCACTAAAACCATCATTGTAATAACCTTTCCAGTAAAGGTTCAAGACCTAAGCACACATTCACATCAGATTCATTTGAAATCTGATTTCCAGGGTATTTTTTGAAAAGTCCCAAATTTGATCCAGACAAGAAACTCAAATAAACAACTGTGGCCTGCAGAGATAATTGGTCATGGGGAGACTTAGTGTTGACACTCAAAGGCCTTCAGTGACACGTGAACTCACACAAGCTCGATGGTGCACACTGTCTGCTCATGCTGCTGATCAAATATAGATCTAAAAACAGGATGACACCTGAGCCCCTGCACACGGTTTGAAGCCCTTTACCTGAAAAGACAAACATGAAATTAAGCAACAATGCACTTTGTCTGCTAATACTAAGAATTAGATGTTATTTTTTCTCTCCTCTTATCTGTGCAGTATGAACTTGAACTGTGTGTTTTGTGGGGTTGGACTCTTCCTGAGTAGGATTGAGTCATACTCATTGCCCGATGCCTTTGCCCCAGATTCCCCATTTATCTTTGAACCAATTCATGTGCAGGAACGCTCTGTGTGGCCAAGTCAACATTTTCCACGGACTATATTTCCAGCAGATCAGGGTTTAAAAAAAGACTCCAATCTGAGGATAGCGTTTCAATAATCCTCACAAATAATTATAATCAAAGATAAATTTAGGCTTCAGCTCTACATTGCGAAGACCAATCCTCAAAAGAACTATTAACCAGCACTAAGTTTCACCTTTCTTTCTTAAAGGAAAGTTACTAATTTGCCATATATATTGTTGAATCATCAGCATACAACATTTGACACTGTCTAAAATTAATGGTCATTCACTTTTAGGACAAAAAGCAAATTATAATGGTCCTGGACAGCTTCCTTGAGGTACACCTCAACTAGTAGATTTCCCACTTGAAAGTGAGCCATTACAAGAGATAGACTCATATAGACGCCTTGCAGCTGACGTCACAACCGTGTCAAACATTTGTTTGCTGTTGGCCACCACCGTATTGGTTCCAGACTCAAGCAGGCTCAAGCGCAAACTTGATCATGCCTTCCATATGCTGTGCAGTGGGATGTGACTATGACAACAAAAATGAAAATCTGAATATTTCAATCTCTAATATTGCACATTAACTATCTAAAGAAGGAGAGAGACATCAGAAATGGCTTGCAGCAGTTAAAAGGGCCAACTGCAGCAACCGAATTTAATGCAATTTAGCAAGCTAAAGTCAGCTAGCGTTAAGTGTTAGCCTGCTAAATCAGTAAAGATGCAAACTGAACTGGCTGAAGATCTTAATCTGGAAGCTGGTACAGGGCTGAGGTAGGGCCCCAGTGGAGTGATGTATAGGGGGAACCTAATTTTAAAGATCGCTAAGACCAAAAATAAATAACAAAAATAAACTTCCGGAGGGGTGAGGGGGTTCTACCGCTATTTACAGAGCTACTGTGGAGCGTGTCCTCGCCTTCTCAGTGTGCTATGGCAACACAACCACCCTTAAACGTTGACAGCTTGAAAGAGATCGATGGCTCCTTTCACCCTGCTTGCTCCTTCCTGAAATCCCTCACCTCCAGAGGGAACTCTGACACACATGAACTCTGACACACATGCATCTTCAGTAGTAGAACGAGCAACAGTCAACAATCACTTTAAAAGTAGATAGATTCAAAAAATATTCAGGCAGTCTCCGACAATATTAGATGCCTGAAAAGCTGATTCTGTACTGATCTCATCCAATCACCGATGTTTTCTCTGCATACATTTTCTGTTCTTTGCTATCTCGATGAGAAATGAGTGACATTGGTGGTGAAGGACATTAGCCTACCTGCATGTGTAACGTCGGTACCCAACATGGTGGAGATAACAAAGAAAATCCTCAGAAGTCATGTGACTGCAAGGCATCTATTGAGAGTCATAGGCCTCATAAAACTGTAATAATTACTCTAAAACAATCTGGGATCAGTTAAATCAATTTGACCCTCTATCCAGGGCCTTTTTGTTCATTGCAACTGAGCTGTTTTGATAGTTATTCTGGGGATTGGTGTCTCACTGTGTTTTTTGAACTTTGTACAGAGAAACCCAAAGTGCCCTATGAGATCGTAAAAAGAGACCTGCACGATGGGAGCCTCCTGTGTTGTTTAAGTGTCACGGGAGTGATTGTGCTTGGCCGGGATCACTGGACATATTTAGACCCAAGTGCTTCTCTGATACGTTGCCAGAAATAGTGCAGCTTTGGAGGACAGGCTGGACAGATCATGCACTTTTTAAATGGATAGAAGTCTAAAGACATGAATCATGGGTTTGGTCCCTTAAATGCCAAATGCTTGTCCCAGCACATTGCTCTAAATGCTGCACAAACAGTATTGGAAGTATATAACTTTCCTGTTTGAACAGAGAGGTTATCTTACAACAGAATTGGACTGTAACCGCTCGGTCTATTCTTAGTTGTCAGTGTACACATTGCAAAATGTTCCCCATGTATCACTTCACGGAACACTAAAGTCAGAGAACTAATGCATGTATTAATCATTCTGACAGTTAGTACTACCTCATGTCTTCACAGTAATTAGAATATGTTTTAAGTCCATTTAAGTCCAAAATGAAAATAACCTAAACTAATTTTTGGTTTTACAAGGGATTTATAGCGCTGGCTTTTGAAACCTGGCTGTGCTACAGTATTATTTTGTGAATGAAGATTTGTTTTTTGACACTTATATTTCTTTTGACACAGTGCTTATAGTCCAAAAGCTGTCAACATGTTGCACACACAGACTGCAAGGGAGCATTATAAGCTCTCTCCTTGCAGCACACGTGAACTTTTTTTAACAACAATGTGCTGAGGCATTCAAAACTATGTATTTTAAAACAATTCCAGTACGATTTAATAGAAGCAGGTGGGCTGCTTTATTTTTATGCCGTGCAGTTATAGAAGGATGTGGTCATCGAACTCAGCAGCAGGGTCGGTGCTGGCAGTAGCTGACCAATGACCTGCTTTCAGAAATGTGTTGCATAAATGTTTGGGTCAGCTAATTTTGGCCTCTGTTTCCTAATTCATTTTTACATTTGGAGAACCAAAAATATGTATACATGTATTTCAATGTGATTGTTCTAAGAAAACCATAAACCTTTACATTTCTAGAAGCTGTTGACGCACATTCAAGCTCAGGTGCAACACTGTGTAAGCTGTTTCAACAGCAACGGAATTAGTCGTTGCTAATCATATCACAGCTAAACAGATTAGTTTGGTAAGTAGGCTGCATGTGTTCCCTGACAGAGTGATAAAACAGCCGCTCTGCTGTGTGGGTCACCTGAAGAGAAGTGACAATAGCACTAAAGATTTGAGGTTCATTATAATTATAATAATAAGTACTTATAATGACCAGTCTATGAAGGTTAAAAACAGCTGTGTGGGATCAGAAAACACACTGTTATTGTTGACTGTAAGAATTTTTTTTAATTAATATTATTTACAGTTTAAAGTCACAAGAAGAATAAAATGAAAAAAACTTTTTACATACTTTTTTTTAAAACTTTTGGTCACAATAAAAATATACTATACAGGGGCAAAAAGGAAAAAGCATTGACTAAAATGTAACAAACGCCATCATCATCATCTCCAGTGATGGACTATGGGTGAGGGTGGTGTGAGGGGGGGCAGGTGGCAGGAAGGTGAGGCGGTGGGCTGGGGATGGAGTCTAGGAAGAAGTAGGTGGTGGAGGGTTCGATGTTTCAGACTTTTCATTGTCACTGCTTTCACTGAGTTGTCTGTTCAAAACCATTTCCTTGGCGATGCAGGTCACCTGACCGTCGCCCACGGTGTAGGTTCTGTTCCTGCAACACAAAGAAAGGTTAGTTTACAGAACCAACCGTCGCTGCACCTGATTAACTTATATTTGGTTATGTTTACATTCACTCACTTTTGAGTTTCAGATCCGTTCTGCATGCCGGGCTGGTTCTGTTTTGCAAAGAAAAATGAACTCCACCAGTGGCCAGAATCTTGCCTTGGAAGTCCTGCAAATAACATAATCTATTTTAGATGAGAGCTCGGTTTGGTGCGACACTTTTCAAAACTAAACATTGTCTTTTTTTGTGCATACCAGGGGGATGTGGAATGACCTCTCCTGTATACTCCGCACTGCCACAGGAGCTGTTGCTGGAGTTGGACCCGAGGCGCCCTGGAATTAAAAAAAAAAAATAAATAAAGACATTTGGTTTTTGTATAAATACTCATCTATCTATATCTTATCAAAGACAAAACAGGCTTCCACAGGGAGAGTACCAATACTGCAATATAAATACATATAAGTCACATCTCACTCACTTCTATAGTAATCATGTGTGGCGATGAGGGAGCCAGTTGATGGAATTGCTGCCATTTTCTCCGCCCTTAGCTGGAAAACCACTCAAAGATGGAAAACGGAAACCTGGAGACAAGAGGGAAATAGATGGTACAGGTATTATTAGGCTACTTTTACTTTTAATTGCACCTGCGTATATTGTTTTCAGAAAATTCTCTTGTTTTGAAAAGCAATGCATCTAACAAAGACCCCTGTGCGAACATACGGCCTGTGGTAATGGAGACATGAGATGAGAAGAAACATCTGCATTGACAGCAGTAACAGAACTCAGGACCCATCACAGGGAAGCCTTTGCTGCATGCATTCATGCACTCTGTGCTTCATTCCTGTCAGTGATGAATCAGAAGCAGCTGCTTCCAAGAATCCGGTTCCCCATGACTCAAATAACCAGAGTATGTCCATCTGAACTCTGATAGCTTAGTGCACGAGCTGGCTGCGTGGCCATGCAAGTTACTAGCAAACGACTGTGCTCTTATAGAAAGCTATACAAAGCTATAGCTGGTCCAAGCTATAGCCTAGGAAAGTACAGGTGGCTCTATCCAATTGTTTTAATGCCAAAAACGTCCAAGGAATAAGCGTAACTTTTTTATTCAAAGTGCAACAAAATGTGTCGACTATTAGAAAATGTGCAAGAATAAAGATTGATTTATTCCTTTGTGCATGTATTTCATATTTCACATGTATGTCATACTATATATGTTAGCAGCCTTGAGAACCAGCTGAACTATGAAGCTTAACACCATGCAGGTGAGCACAGGTGGCTTTGAGGATTTCACGGAACAAACAAGAACTGGACTTCATAACGGCAGCAGACGCATAAACACAACACTTATACAATACCCTGAAGGAAAATTGTTCCTAGTGGTCTATCTACTGCATGTGATTATAAAATGTATGCATGTCTTTACTGAGATTAAGTTAATCAAACATTTAAAAAGAACACCTGTGGATGTAACTGACAGGTATCTTCACTTAAGAATAGCATAAAAACATTTCAGCACATATAACTAAATTAGTATTTTGTGATTAGGTCAGGCGTTGTGAAACAAATACAATATCAAATATATTTAGTTTATGTTTAAACACACAAAAGTAGACCTTGTAATTATTTTTGACGTACCTGTAAGATCAGGGTGCGGATGGCTTGAAGTAGAAGAGGTACTAGTTGTTACAATGGCCCATTTGTGGATGAACTCTCTAGGTCGACCCCTCACGGTCAAAACACTGCTACTGTAACTGTCAGGAGGACCGCGTTTTATAGGGGTCTGTCCCCGCGCGTGCTGCTGTGGCACGGGGGCGGGGCCTGTGGCAGCTCGAGGACACAGAACATGCGGTTGTTGTGCTCGGTTAAGGACGGGAACTCAGACATCAGACAAAAGGAGGCCTTGGAGAGGCTTAAAGTAACCCGCTGATGTTAAAGACTGACGGACAAAACGCCACGTTAGCTAGCCAATAGCTAATGGTAGCTAACGTCAGAAAGCTGCTGAGTTGGGTTTTTGACCAAACCGCTCCCTGGTGGTCTAGTGGTTAGGATTCGGCGCTCTCACCGCCGCGGCCCGGGTTCGATTCCCGGTCAGGGAACGTTTCTTTTCCTGGTTAGCCGCATAATTCAACCTTCCTTGTTGGTTTACATTTTCTCACAATCTTCATTTTGACATTTAATATAATGGCTGCCACTGCACTAAATGTTGCAAGTACTCACAATCAGAGGTCAGAAAGGTGACTCTAATGTTGCATTAAAGTTATAGTCCCCCATAAGGCTTGGAATATCTCAGTGCCTTTTCTTTTGGAAGTATCAGTTTATGTATCAGTATCCCCTTTTAATTTCAATAAAAGTGTATTACATATAGTAGAAGGGACACTTGCATCTATTTTCCATATCCTACTGTTAACATATTTCAAGCCTCTAGCGCCACCCAAAGGCTCGATATAGAATAAGGCCACCACCAGTGGCAGTAGTCGCTTAAATTAAGTACACCAATGTAATTAAATTAAATGAACTTGACATGACGACAATAGACCATACACCATTCAATTGACTTTAATTGAAAAATCTTAAAATACAAAAATACTTATTTTGTAAATGTCACAATTAATGTCAATGAATGCATATTGCAAATACAAGATGGGTTTACTGCACGTCAAAATAAATAACTTGCACATTACATTTATCCAACACACAGAAATAAAACATATTCACATATTAAAAGACTATTTTTACGTTTAAGTTTAAAATATTTTTACATTGCAATTGTAATACATTCTATTTGTCATGTTGCATTAATACAATAATAACAGTGGACAGATTAACACAGACAAGGGATCGATCAAAAAGGGATCAGAAGGGTCCATCTCATGTGCGTGAGGATCTTCTTTCGAACCCAGAGGTGTCTCCGTTATTTGTGAGACCGACACTCACCTTGTCCTGTGTGATCCAGACAGGAGAGTGATCAATGCTCAATAACATGCGCAGTAATAACTCTCTGTGACTGCCGTTTCCACAAACTCACCTTCACACTTCCGACCATTTCCTCAAAAGACTTGAATGTAGAGGAATGTCTACGGAGAAACGTAGAGACAAATTACCTTGAATCATCTGTGTTTGAGCAGACAAATTAAATTATTAGTAAGCAGTTTCTATAAGAACAGCAGTGATGTTTTACCTCATAGACGGCACACTCATGGTGTGGCCCAGGGCGCTTTGTGTCACATTGGAGAGGCAGAAGAGAGAATGAAGTTTTAACATTATAAGTGACATGTAAAGCTTAAAGACATCGTATTTAAAACACATGTATTTATTTACCAGGGACAATGCACATTCAACATTTCAGTGTCCACGTCAGTGTAAATGCGTCAGTTAGCTAATGAGTTTATTTTAACCTCCCCGGGCAGGTTGAACATTTATAAAAACACAAACCGTATGTCTATTCATTCATTCACGTACAATACTTAAATATTGTAATATTACTTTTACTCCACTTAATTTATTTGACATTAGTTGCTAGTTACTTTGCAGATTCAGATTATTAATATAAATCAACTAATAAATTATGATGCATTAATACATAAATAATTAAAATACAGTGATATAATATATTATTCTGAAATGGGCCATTCTGCATAATGAGTACTTGAGCTACTTTTACAGTACAAACACACACACACACACACACACACACACACGGACTCATTCATCACTCACTTCAGACCATTCAGCCTCACCACAATGAGCTCAGTTCAGTCTTACCGTGGTGGGCTCGGAAGAGGCAGAGCTCTGTTGAGATAAAGACAAACACACAGATAACGTCACACCAGCTTCTGTTGTTGGATGAAAACAACAGACTGATCAGCGACTGCTGATGATGTCCAAATGTCCTAATGGGATTAGATTACAAGTGCTGACTGGCTAAACAAAAACACAAGACACTGTGACACTTTAAGACAAACTTGAAGTGATTCTCCACCCAAAACCCCTCAGCCCATGTTTTGTTCTTTTTCAATTTTGAGGTACTTTACTTGAGTATTTTATGCTACTTTATACTTTTTACAGAGGGAAATATTGTATTTTTTTTTCTCTATTTATTTTAAAACGTTCTGTTTACTTCGCTATTTCTGATTAATCCAAAATATAATCAACAAATAAATGATGATGTATTTTTATAGATTAAGATACCAGTATATACAATTAGCCTCACCTTTACAGACTGCAACATAACACATTTTATGCTTGGTCCCATATTGTAAAAAGATAACTTTTTTAATATAAAGGAGGTGTAAGCGCTATATAAATACTGTGAAGGTATCGAAACACTCAATCCACGGGGCAATACACACAGGCCGTATTCATAAACGGCGCCTTTAAACAAGCTGTCAGGATTTCAGACCGACGGCGTCATCACGGAATTGTAGCTCAAAAGAGATTTTGAGTGGAGTATCAATTAAAAAAAGATGTCTTGCAATAAATAGTCAATGGGGGCTGATGAGGGGAAATACATTAATTACAGTTTTAAAAGGCAGACGTTGTCTTACATGTTATTACTGTAAACAAATATCATGAATAGACCAAAACAAATGATGCATTAGTCCGTCTGACGTCCCTACTCTGTCTGTAGCTCTCAGAAACAAGCCCATCAGAGTGGAAATGGGTGTAGCTAAGTGCTATTTTTCAGATCAATTAATGTTGGTTTTGGTCTTTTCGTGGGATTTGTTAACAACTAAAATATATGATAAATTAAATGTTATCTTAAATTATATGTCTGTTTTTTTCTGTTAGTTTCTCAAGAAACTAAATCAAAATATGAATGTGGTGGTTAAATGTACAAAATCATATCGTGCTGTGGGCCTTAGTGTCATGTCACACATTACTACACACTGCTTGACAGTTATCATAGAGGCTGTGACTGTCCTGTCCCTATATAGACGACTACAATGAATTGAAATAGTGTTTTAGTTCTAGATCTGACATAGTAGATCCAAGTAGACAGAGATACAAATGAATGAATAGCAGTACAAATGTGGGAATACAAGTGCTTTATAAAATGTTCTTGCATAGCATTTTCTGAAAGCCAAAAACCTGGTTTTATATTATTTTGTCTTTTTTAAATGCAGTTTGCGATATGGATTCCTGCTTGTCCCTCTACCTGGCTGCATTAGCCAACAGCTTTTCCTACCAGGCACCTCATTGGTAGCTTCTGCACTATTAACATGCAGAGTTTGGTATTTTTTAAATCTATTTTTTAACAAATAAAATTGGAAAATGATTAAAGTAGCTGGGCCAACTCCGAAGGTACCTCATGTCTGCCAGTCTCCTGGTGATGGTCACGCCCATATTGGATAGAGCGGATGATGTCACCTGGCCTGCATGAGTGAGACTCTCCCGTGTCCTCATATATCTACAGGTAGAAAGAAGTAGTCATGAATAATGGAGGACAGTCACAACACTGCCAACACACATGTGACACTTACAGAGAGCACAAAGGTATGAATTCACACACATTCACCACATAAATTAAACAGTTAACAACAGGCTCATATACGTCAGTGGCTTCTATGTGGCTGCAGAAGGCTGCTCACTCCGTTTTAAAACGCTTCAGGCCAGTCCTGACATTAACTGTTAATACAACTGCTCCTTGTACTAAGTCAGGCTGTAAGGCTATTAACGGGGCACCAATCCTATTCGACCTGGAAAATCCCATCACTTGTTTCTTAGAAAGGAATCCTCTTTAACATGTGAGCACAGGACAAACCATTGGGAGACCCCTGCGCCATGAAATGCAGTAGAAATGTGTTGTTTTTTTACGAATATAATGCAAACGTGATGACCAACACTCACATGTTGGAGTTGCTGATGTCCTCCAAAGTGGCCGAGGCTGAGAGATATCTGTAACAAGAGCAGAACAAGCACAACTGGTAAGATTATTCCCCCGACTTAAGGCAGAGCGCACGACAGTTATTAGTGTGCTTTCCATGGTTATGTAAGCATGTCAAAGTAAGACAATGCGTGGCAAATGGTCTGCCAGAGGAGAGGTTGGGTGTGTTAAGCCTGGTAAGACTATAGAGGTATGCAGTGGAGTTTTTAACCATCCAACAGCCCTTGCCGTACAATCAAAATGGCAGTCAAAATATGCAATGTTTAGGAGGATACAAGTGCACTTACGGGGCTGAGGTCTGGACGTCTTGCCAGCCTTTGGACAGGTTCTGTTTGATGTTACTGAGAGAGCTCATACCCAGCTGCCTCCTGATGTCTGCTGCATATTTTTCTCGGACCACAAGCACCTGCCTCAATGTCTGAATTTCTTCCTCAATCTAGAAACACACAAAACAGCTAAATCAGTAGAGAGACAATTTGTGAGCGGATACTGTTAAATATATTTACCTTGAGTGATTAATAGCCCGAAAGAGCTGCATAACCTTTGCAAGTTCAATCCGTAGATTGCAGACGTCCTCCTCTGTTAGACCTGAGTCCGAGTATCCATTTTCTGTTATCCTTGTGGAGAAGCTCATGGATGATGAAGCCCCATCAAAGCCTTACAAAGCAGATCGTTAAAAAATGTATATTTAGATAGATAGAACAATGTAGATGTCACAAATACATAGGATAACCTTATATTACAGTATGTGGGTCAAAACATATGAATGTAAATATGAAATTTTTGAAGAGGCAATGAGAAAATATCAGATAACCTACAAATATTAGATAGATAGATAAAACATATCATTCTTGCAAACTTTTTAATATTGTCAAATACGTTTAAAACTACAGAATGTATACCAGTAGTATCAGCAAAGGTTGTATACTTTATAACAGTCAACACACTCTCGGAGCTGTCCGAAGTGCTGAACTGAGGCTAACTGAGGCTAACTGAGGCTAACTGAGGCTAACTGAAGCTAACTGAGGCTAACTGAGGCTAACTGAGGCTAACTGAAGCTAACTGAAGCTAACTGAGGCTAACTGAAGCTAACTGAAGCTAACAGCTAACATTACTTGTTGCACACTACGCAAACGTTAGCGTACCGACTAAAACTAACCGAGATATTTGTGCTAAAGACTTTTACGGTACCAACAAAACCAAGTGTGAGATAGTCTTTTACCTGGTCGGTTCATCGCTGCCTCGCGTTCAGCTCCGGGAGTGTTTTGACTTGTTTAGCTAGCAGCAGCCTCCTGTGATGTCACCATGCAAACAGCTCAACTCAAAGACGAGCAGGAGGAAGTCTCAGCCAGGATCACCGAGGCGGTCATTGGACTGATGTTGTGGGATGTCATGCAATGTAAAAATACTCTGCTACAAGTATAAATCCTGCATTCAAAGGCATTAATATATACTTAGAATACCTAAAGTACTGATTATGCAGAATGACACTTTTTAGAATAATATGAAGGCTATTGTATCAGCAGCTGGTAAAGGTGGAACTAATCCTAACTGTATTACTGCAGGGTAGCTTCATCCACAATAATACATATTATTATATCTAAGAATTGATTTATACTCTGTATTAATAATCTGAATTTTGAGCATATAACTGATCTCTAATGTTGTACAATGAATAAAAAATATATCGAAGCATTTGCAATATAATATGTAGGCCTACTTAATTTATCAAACGTACCCATTTTGCCCCTGTTAGTGTCTGAAAATTTTTGAGAAGTAAACAGCACAATATTAACTGCTGAAATTGTAGTGGAGTTGAAGTATAAAGTAGCCTAAAATGGAAATACACTAGTAAAATACCTGTATTTAGTTGCACTCCACCACTGGTCATTACATCAAAGATGAGAAATATGAGGCACAAAACTTTATGTCCATCAATATATTTATGATATGATCAAGATTAAATAAACATAAGGCTGGCCTAACTAAATTAAGCATCTAATTAGCCTATATATTATGATGAGCTCAGAAATCACATGCGTGAGATTCAAAGTCCGTAACAAGAAATCCTCAAATCCTTTAGTGTCTAAATAAAAGTACAAATACTATAGTGTAAAAATACTGTCCTGCATTCAGAATCTTACTTTATAGGAGGTATTATCAACATTTACTTGAAGTATTAAAAGTTAACTTACACTACCATACATACAGTATATTAGCCTTTATATGTAGTATTAAACAGACAGAATGGCTCTCGTCATTGTTACAATAATACACTATAATAATGGATTATTCTCACTATTTAATATTTTAGCGACACGTTAATGTTGTAGTTAAAGGTGGAACTCATCTTAACTATTTAACTTGAAGTATTTTATTGTACTTTATATACTGTTGGGTATCTATAACAATATATTGTATTTTCTAAGATGATATACATCTAAACTATTAATCTGTTTAGTGACAGTCAAATAAATGTAGTGGCATAATATTTACAATATTTGCCTTTGAGATGTAGAAGTGTAAAGTAGCATAAAATTAGTACAAGAACCTAAAACTTTAATGAAGTAAAAACTTAAATGGTTTACAATTTGAAAGGAGTCAAATAAAATAGTATGTGTAAATTGTCATATAAAATAAGCATTCCACAATTAATTGGTAAAATAAAAGACTTGCCTCCATCTATTGGCAAAGAAATGCCACTACACTTCAGTGAGTGCAAAGTCCCCTATTGCAGCAAGTGAACCAAAAGTTATTTTGTTTTATCTGGTTATACATCATGTTACACTAAGATAAACAAACAGCAGCAAATCTACAGCATGTTGACTTAGGATGAAGATTTAATATTAATCGTGTGTGCAACCTCCAAATTTGGTTTACTTGTATACACTATCAGTTACATTCGGCAAAGTATATTATAATTTATAAATTAGAATTAATGCAGCATAAAGATATACATCAAAAATATTTGAATTGAGAAAAGTGTCATGTTAAATCAAATATGAATTGTTATTCGTTAATATCAACATCAAATATATAAGTATTCTCACTTTTTGTTCAGTACATTACATACAGACAACAAGTCCGTTCACTGTTCTTGCATGTCCCAGGAAATGTAGTCAGTCCATTCTGTTGTGTTGTGTTTTTGTGCTAAAAATAGTAATTGTAAGATTCAAACCTTCTCCAAACTTTAAAAAAAACTGAGGGTCACAAGTCAACATGTTCAGGAACATTTATTCAACGACAGCAAATCAGATCAATCACCACTTATTTTCTTCCAGACAGTTACCATGCTACAACATAAACGTTAAGGTTTATACTTTATATGGGCGAAGTGTATGTACAAACGATCTTAACCATTAAACCATTCCTTGCTAAATTTAATGGTTACATTACAACACCATACCAGTTAAAATTATAGCCATCATCAAGTATGAAATAAATACAATTCCAAAAATGCATCATATAACCATTTCACTATAGATACACTATATATATACCATGTTGTCTTTTTGTGGAGTCATTGCCTGATCATTGATCCATTATAGTTTTTTTTCCAAACACAGTGCATTCAACTTAGAACATTTACAGTAGCATCTTTCAGTATCTCTATGAAAAAAGCCATGACAGGAACATCTATGTTTCATCAAGGGTTACAGGAAACATCATACAAGGGCCACAGAGGTCAACATCCATACCGTTAATAGCAGAGGGTGGGCAACAGGAGCTCACCTAATGTAAACCATTGAAACACATTAGCATTTATGAAATGGACATTGTGGCAAAGATGGTCATGGCAATTTGAAAATTTGTGACAATGTATGCAAATTCAGTAGTATGAAAAATCTAGAGTAATTTTACTTGGAGCTGCCTGTAGCAGAGAGCTCACAGATGATATGCCTGACGAGCTTTTACTCTACATGGATTCAAAAAAGTAAACAATGATAAACGATTACAGCGTACGACAATATGTCATCAGACTTCAGTTCAAAACACGAGGACTAAAAACATGATGCAAATCATATTCTTCACCACCTAAAATATCCCTCATGTGGATGTTCTGTAGTCAGCTTTATTTCCCAGCTATGAAGAGTGTAACATGCTTCTTTTTTTTTTTCCACAGCACATTAACTACTTCACATATTCAAGACAGCTCAGAGTTAAAAACATGTCACCCTCTGAACAAGCTGCTGATAGAGATCTGTTATTTCTCCCTATATTGACAGCTCTCACCAGGACCGACTGAATTACCTGGATGGAGCTCCTTGGCTTCATATACCGCAAGATCAATAAGTAAACAGAAGATTCCTTTAAAGCTGAAGCCTCTAATTTCTGAAATTCAATGTCAATTTGTTTTAAATCTATCAGATGTAACTGCTGATGGGACGAAAAAAGCAACAAATACAAAATGACGCAAATATTCTTGTTAGGTTTGGTTGAGAACAATAGATCAACATACTACAACTAATCCACCTGGACTGAAAACGGCCATAAATGGATGCAATAGTGCAATGCAAGACATTTTGAACCAACATAAAAATTACCTTGACAATAACGGTCATGACGACCTGTTCAGTGCTGCAGGAAAGACAGGAAACTAGTCTCCATCCTGCAAAGACAAGCTGAAATAAAGCTGAGGCAGAGGAATGGAAAGCCAATACTAATTAATAACAAGAATGTTACACCAGCAGGCATTTATGAAACAAATGTCTGCAAATAAAGCTCTGTGCCTCAACAACCTCATGACTCTTATTAAAAACTCTCAGGGGAGCTCACCACAGACAAACAAACACAGAGCCAAAGACGAACTGCAGGTCTGACGATGGCAGGTGGCATGTTCAACTTAAACAGGACTGATTGCGAATCAGAAGTGGAAATTGCACTAATATATGACAACTCTGTTCTCGAGGGATTAATGATGACACCGATCACCTTAGCAAACAAACACATCTCTCTAAGCTCCTCCCTGAGCCATGGTTCTCCTTTCCTTCAGCATGAAATATCACGTAAACGTCACCCCTCCGCCTCCTCCGTGAGAACCGTACTCATTTGAATATATTGCACATACGGATGCACCTACATTATAAAGTCTTGCAAAGGAAAAATGCTGCAGAAGATGAAAGAAAACCTGGAGACCATGTTTTATAAACAGTGCATGCTACACCATGATGCAAAGTGTGGGAGAGGGAAAGTGGGGTAGGCAGACCTGTGCGGTTAAAAGGCCAAGAAATACAAAAGAAGAGATCAAAAGGAAACTTAGGTTGTTTCTCTTTTCGTCTTGTACGAGGGGGGGGGAAATAAGTTGTGGACCAATCAGGGAGAGGGTGTAAGGAATGTGACTTCATTAGTTCCTTTCATGGGCCATGCTTACTAGTCCCTCTCCTCCACACGGCACTCTTTCTGAAGTGGAAAGGATCGCCCCTTTCTTACATCTCACTGAGGTGGAGCAGGGAAGCAGGCAGGACCGCAGGCCAGGATTTGATGGGAACGGGGGTTTAGTTGAAGCCGGTGTCGGTGTGATAGGAGTGGTGCCCATCCGCTGTTAACTGGGTTGTCTCTGTTGCTGATGGTTGCAGCATTATAGGGTCACCACCAGCCTCTGCTTGACAAACAGAAACATTTTTCAGCCTCCTCCACTCCTCCTGTTGACGAATTCAAAAGGGGAGCGGCAACACAGGTGATTCAGTCTCACCTCTCTCATCAGATTGCAGCTGAGCCTCCAGGTCCTCGGGGGACACATAAAATTCCTGCTCCTGGCCCTCCCGAGGTCGTGGTTTACATTTGCCACAGCAGCAGTTACAGCAGCAACATAGGCAGCAACAGAAGTAGCAGCCAGTGGCCAGACCGCAGAATACAAACAGAGCCTGAAGGGAAGCAATGCGAGGAAGTGAAGAGTCAATATGTGAGCAAGAAACAGAAAAATTAAAATAAATCACAGAGCAAATAGTGATAACTCAGTCTTACCTTGGCCCACCAGCTTGAAAGGACAAAGTAAGTGTTAACATTCTCCTCTCCAAACTGCTCAGCCACATATAGTCCCAGAGAACCATATTTGTCATAAATGTTACGCTTTGTGGGGTCATTCAGGATCGCGTGAGCGTTGTTTATCTCCTTGAACTTATCGACTGCCTCTGGGTTGTCAGGATTCTTGTCAGGGTGGAACTTCAACGCCAGTTTCCTGGGCAGAAAAAAAAAAAAAAAAAAGACAATAAAATACAAATATAATCACAGCACCTATTCTGTAGTAATTACGTGAGGTAAGTCGCAGAGGGAGATGCCTCACCTGTAAGATCTCTTAATATCATCTGACGTGGCCACCTTCTCAACTCCCAGCACAAGGTAGAGAGACTCACCGGCGGTGGACAGAGAGCGCTGCCTCTGATGCTCGGCCATGATGCCTCACGTCCACAGGCTGGGCACACAAGCAGAAAACATTGATTGGGCTGCAAGTCACAGCCAGGCCTGCTTTGTTAAGATAACCCATTTATATCAGGTTAAAAAATATCAGACCGTAAACTACAGTGAGGCCTGTGTGTCTGCAGGCAACAGCTGGTCCAATGCTGTCATTACTGCAAAAGCTATGTGTGGAAATACGCAGCACTGTTTGAAATATAGGTGGAAAAGGTTAAGAGCCATGAAGGCAACATGCTGGATATATTATATTTCCCTGTACTAATTACGAGTTTTTAAGTGCAATTAGCACCATCACACTGTAAATTGTCCAGTTCAATTTCTACATGGCTATACTGTAACTGTGGCATCTTGGCAGGACCACTGACTGCCGCTGCAAGTAAATCAGTAACTGACATCAATCAAGCCTACAATGCTGCAATACAATACGATTCAGAAAGCAGCTGCAAATAAATAAATAAAATAGGATAACGCCATTCCTGAGAACATAGCTGCTTCCAAATGGGTGTCATCGTGATACAGATGAACAGCCACTGGTCTATTTGAAGACCTGCACAGCTTATTTCAACATTTGTAACGCCCCAAAGCTGTCTGCTCTGCCAAGTGTGTGTCAAATTCCCTTTTCGCATCCCGATTTCAATTGTCTATAAGAAGGATTAGACTGAGAATACGATGCTAGGAGCATAATCTCTGCAAGCATCATCACCAGCACACCGCCACAGTATAGCGCGCAGCATCCATGTTGGTTTGCTTCCTGGCCTGTGCTTGATGCAAGCCAGGGATGGATCGTCAGCAGTAATTTTCAAGGGCAAGGGGCAGTGTCTCGCGGACAAATAAAGGATCGAAATGCACCTTTCGGGCTCACCTTTCAGTCGGCTGTGATGCGCTGCAACACTGACGATCCCAGCAGGTTACAATTTTTGAGACAGTGTAGCGTGACTATGGCTGCATCTCGCACGTACCCAAACCCTCTCTGGCTCCCACGACACAATCATGGACAGCTGCAGCAGTACGCTGGCTCCGCCCCCTCCCCTCAAACACCCATGGCGATCCGACGTGCGCATGCGCAACCGACCAGGATGAGGATGCTGGACGCAAAGGCGTGCAGATACCCGCACTGTCAATCTGAATTTTGCTGAAACAATCACATACACTGTAATAGTATTTCAATCATGACATTAAGACCACTTAAGTATTATTAGATCTTAAAGCAGAATTTCATTTTTTTTTCAAATCTTAGATTAAATTTGCCATTAAAGCAACAATAAAACACACACATTAGAACAGGAGAAATGTAAGGAGAGTCAGACAACATGCATCATGCAAAGTAGGACATGTACAGTGCAAACAGTGTTAAAGCAGACGATGAGCGCAGGCAGTTAAACATAAAATCAACATAAAATCACATTACATTACAGAGGAAACGCAGTCTGACCAACAGACCAAAACAAGACAGATGAGTACAGATGAGGAATGCTTGCAGTGACAGTATGATGGCAGGTGTGGTTGCTTGCTCTGGGGCCAGAGCCCAATTTGCCCAGTTGGTTAATCCAGTTTTGCCCATACATGTTCAACTAAATTGAGATCTGTTGACTATGAGGTCCATGGCATTAAATTAATATTTATATCTTCAATAAACATTTCAGTCAACCCGTTGTGTATGGAAGCATCTGCATTTGTTTCACAGTTCGGGTTAGGTTAATTAGTTTTTAGGGTCTTTGGTTAGTCTTAGGAGTTTTGTAGGTTGTGAATGTTACTGTATAACACATGCACCTCTTCAAATCGAGACACGTTAGTAAACATACATTTCAAATACTATCTGATTCCCTATTCTCATGTTCCCAAACGCATATGGGTGTCCCATTTTAAATATCTCCATTATGTTTCATCATTGTACTTGTATGTTTACTCATATATATATATATATATATATATACACACACACACAGTGTGATGGACTACTCAGATATTTTACATTAGTAAAACTTCTGCATTCAAAATGTTATTCAAGTAAAAGTACAAAAGTATTAGCATTAAAATATATGCAGAGTGGCCCATTTCAGAATAACATAACAATAAAGTTAAATATCTCTCTCACATATATATATATATATATATATATATATATATAATATATATGTCGTTATATAGATTAGATTTGACCATCCGCTGCACTGACTGTTCCTCGGCAACGGTGACGTCACCGCCTTCACCAATCGCAGAGCTCGCGGGGCCGACGCTGCTATCGCGAGGTTTATTACATTAGCTCGGTTAGTTAGCTAGCCGCTGAAAACCTTGACTGTGTACGCTGTATTTTACACTTTTCTTCTTAAAAGCCCTGAGAGGACACTGCGCCTTTCTGTTGTAATTGTTGTCTACTAACGGCTGTACGAAGAGGATAATCGCCGGAGCTCGTGTTTGCACGGTGAGTTGTGTAAACGCACACAGTCTGCTAACTAGCCACGGCTTGTTGCCTAAGAGGAAATGGGTTTGTTTTGGAAGCCTCGGAGAATCTCCAAATTATTATTGTTTTTACTGTGACGCTAGCAAAGCGCTCAACCGCCGTTTTTAAGCTCACGCACATCGTGTGTGTTGTTTTGTTATTAATCAAGCATTAATGTCAGTGTTATGTTTGCGGTAAAACCATCATATCTGACACTGCTCGTGTAGGTACAAACTGTGACCAAGCTGTGTCAGTCTTGCTCACGTTTCGCTGTTTTTTCAATGGATTTTCGTCCTTTTCCAGGATCCCAATGATGAGTTATGCTGAAAAGCCAGAAGACATCACAAAAGAAGAGTGGATGGACAAATTGAACAATGTTCACATACAGAGGGCGGACATGAATCGGCTCATTATGAATTACCTGGTGACAGGTGAGGCATGTAGCTCGACTACAGTGATTTGAATGTGCCATTAGCTCAAGCCAAAAGACATCATGCATAGCTTTCCTTAATGTCTTTGCATCTGCCTGTTATCTGTTTCAAGAGGGTTTCAAAGAAGCTGCAGAGAAGTTTCGGATGGAGTCTGGGATCGAGCCGAGTGTGGACCTGGACTCTCTGGATGAAAGGATAAAGATTAGGGAGATGATCCTGAAGGGACAGATACAGGAAGCTATTGCACTCATCAACAGCCTACACCCGGAGCTGCTCGACACCAATCGATACTTGTATTTTCATCTGCAGGTACATTTGCACAGAGTTTTGTAATGATCACCAGTAGTTCTGATTTTAGGGTGTGCCTCCTGTAAATTGAAAGTAGTTGGGTACCAAATTATCCAGGTCATGCATATGTAATCTTTCCTAGTTAAAGAGGAAAATAATTACAGTCGATAAAGCTTGAACTTCAACATTCACTGCTTGTACTCCGTTTTTTGTTTCCTCTCTTGCAGCAGCAACATTTGATTGAGTTAATCAGGCTAAGGGAGACTGAGTCAGCGCTGGAGTTTGCCCAGACACAGTTGGCGGAGCAGGGTGAGGAGAGCCGCGAGTGTTTGACAGAGATGGAGAGAACATTAGCCCTTCTGGCCTTCGACAACCCAGAAGAGTCGCCCTTTGGGGACCTGCTCAACATGATGCAGCGGCAAAAGGTGGGCAGGTCTTAGCTGGATAATCAGACTGAATTGTTATCTTTAAGGTGCTTTCACACGTAAAGTTTGGGTTCATTCGATCCAGCTTCGGACCAAGGAGTAAAGACAAAGTAAACGTTATTGTCTTTATCCCTGAGTATTACACTACACAATGCCTCTTTGACCTGATTGTGTCTGAGCTCAGATGCCTTTTAGTTCTGCTCCGCTTTGTGTTCACACTACTGCTGTAATGGTTACATGTGTCCATGTTTACCAATTGCGTTACGTAAATACATACATTGCTTATACAGTTAGCGTTTTTAACAGTTTACAAATCAACAAATGGATTTAATAGTAGTTAAACTTTTGAATTGATGCCAAAATTCACCGGAGTTTGATTTACCAAACGGGCAAGGGCATAATGTTTATTAGTTATATTAATTGTTAAAGCACCGTAATTGAATCCAGGCTACTGAATTGAACATAGTGAATGCAATCATGCAAGAAATGTGTTGATTTAATTTTGACTGAAACTACTATCTTGATGTACAGGTGTGGAGTGAGGTGAACCAAGCTGTGCTAGACTATGAAAACAGGGAGTCGACGCCCAAACTGGCTAAACTCCTGAAGTTACTGCTGTGGGCACAGAATGAGTTGGACCAGAAGAAGGTGAAATATCCCAAAATGACTGACCTTAGCTCGGGCACCATCGAGGACCCCAAGTGAACATAAGAGACAAGAACAATCACCTTCCACGTCCCCTTAATTTATGATCAGTCAGTGACTGTGTGACAACCAGGTAACATATATGTATAAACAAATGCTACATTGTTTTTTTTTTTGTTTCATTCATGAGAGATAAAACTTAACTCTTTGTGCAAACTGTAAATTGCTGTATTTGCAAATTGACGGAAATTATATAAGTACTGTTCCTGGATTTTTAGATCTTGGGGACGTCATAATTAAAATTGCTGTTTTATATTTTGTCTTTCTAAAGCCTAAGCCGGTAGTATTATTTATTGTAACTATTCCCTCCACCAAGACTACATTTTGCCAGATAGAGAGTGAGAGAGATGATGGTATAAATGTACAAGTTAAATACGGTGGCATGTGTGGAGCCAAAATCTAGGCTTCCTAGAGCGGGAGGCGGGGTTAAACTTCACACGATTGACGACACAATGCAAGAGTCTAGATAGTTTAAAATCAGAAATGAGTTCAAAATTAACATTTCGTACACAAAATGTCAGTATTTTTCAATTTAAATGGAAAGATATGCTAATTAATGTAATATAGTTTTAATTAATATAATATTTTATGATTTCTTTTACAATATGTCTATAGGATGAACTGCCTTGCAAAGCGATAATGTCATGCGTGTGTTGAGAGGGGTACTAACGTCCCGACTGACGGGTTGAAATCAGAGATGGTTTCCTTTTTGAGTTTTGGCGCCCTTGGCCTTTTCTGAGCCGACAGTCTGCACCGCTCCAAATAAAAGTGTTTGGTTTTATGTTGCTGGAGGGTTGAGATTAGAATAATATTCTACCCATCCCATCGATGGAGGATTTATATGTTGCTTGAGAGAAAGGGCTGCTCCGATCAAGAGATGCTAATGAGTGACGGTGCCAATAACGACTTTGTAGTACGAAAACTCTCATATTTAAACTCTATTCACACTGGAACGGATTATTTTTCTCATTGCCTTTTGTTTTGGTTTTCAATAATTAATGATCAAATGCATTGACATTTTGAATCTGAACAAAAATTGACAATTTTGCCACTTTTAAAGCCGTTAATATTTTTCAATTTTACTGTACGTAAATGTATTTTTTTTTTTTTTTTTTTTCCCAATGGGGAAATGCTTTTGGGTTTATTTTTTTTTTCGGTTTGTTAACTTTTATATATATATATATATATATATATATATAAAAAAAAAACTTGCTGCTAGTTGTCAGTCCTTAATTTCATTGAAGGTTGTATTGTCTTTTTATTTGTATTTGTCTTCTAGTTATTGTATTTGACAAATACCGAGACCCAGAGAGCCCACATCCCTTTTATTATTCAACATTTTTAAGATCAGATTTGCAATTATTAAAATAAACAAAACTTTTGTGAACCATACAAGAGCTGTTTTTTCATTTTCTGAGTTGGGAAAATCCATTGATGCGTAGTGTATGTATTAGAGCAGTGGTTGAATGTAACGAAGTGCATTTATTGGCTGTACTTTGAGTATTTCCATTTTTATTCTACTTCATAAATCTGTTTTTTTTTTTTTTTGCTCAACTACATTTACCTTTTAGTTACTAGTTGCATTGCAGATACAGATTATTAATACAAAATATAAATCAACTAATACATTACGATGTATTATTATAGATTAAGCTCCACAGCAGTGTAGGAAGTAATTCAAATGAAACCCACCTTTACCAGCTTCAGATATAGAAACCAAAATCATGAAACAACAAATACTCATTTACCCTTTGGGGGCAATATGCAAATGTTTAACCTCTGTGACCATTTCCGGCAAATCACAAGTTCTCTTTATCTGGCTTTTGTTCCAACAAGTTTTACCAGTTTGTCCTGTCTGCCTGAGGATATGAGGTAAAGCCGACGAGCAGCTCTCGGTGCGGGAGGGTTGCGAATATTTCAGGAAGGACACCAGCGTTGCTCGGATGGCTGACACATCAGGAGACGGCAGGGAGGACTTCAATGGCTCTCCACTGGTTGTTAAAGTTTACACAGCTAATGGTTTGACCAGAGAGACGACAAAATACCAAAACCTGTGGCCAAGGTGAGAGAGACTACAAGATTTAGTTCAGACTAAAGACAAGTCAAGCTTCAACTGTAATTCTGTGTAAAGAGGTTGCCCTCATATCGTTAGGTAACACAAGATTTCTTAAAATGATCAGAATGTAAATGTTTGCTGACTGAAACAGATGTACTGATTTGAACTTGGTGTACTGGCATTTAGGAGAACTTCATAGACATTGTTTGCTTCTCTAGAACAGGATTTATTTTCTTAGCCATGCTAGTGGTGTATTGCTCTATGGATTCCAATGTCAAGAGATATTTTGGGGTGGACCAAAGTGGTGGACTGACTCAAAAGATAGACTAACATCTATTGGATGGATTGTCATGAAATTGTGTGTATATATTCATTGTCCCCAAAGGATAAATCCTACTGACTTTGAGGATCCCCTAAATTTTCCCCAGGCACCATCAGCATGTTGACATTTTAGGTTTCTATTGAAATGTCTCAACATTGAGATTTGGTACAGATATTCATGGTCCCCAGAGGATGAATTTGAATAAGTTATGGTTTAACATTCGATCTAGTGCTAACCGGACCTTTTATCAGGTCAAAATGTACCTTTTTCCAATACTCAAGTTTATGACCAAATACCTGCACATTCCCAAGAGCCTCAGCTGCACTTTGTGTTTCGTGCTAATTAGCAAACCTTAGCATGCTAACATGCTAAACTAAAACAGCTTGTTAGTCTCCTCTCTACAAGTTCTTTAGTCACAGTTACTGTGGCAGCTGCTTTTACCAAACATGCATTGTGATCCACGTCATTAAGTGGAACCTGTTTCCCTTCATGCTTACAGACCGCTGGCTCGAAAATGGATCCTGATGCTGTTCATAGGCTCATGCCTCCTCTACTGTTCCAGGATGGCCATGCCAATCTGTGCAGTGTCAATGGCAACCTCTTTCCACTGGAGTAAGATCGATTCCGGGCTGGTTCTGGGTGGATTCTTCTGGGGTTACTGTTTCACACAGATCCTGGGTGGACATGCTAGTGACGAGTAAGCAAACCAGCTAGTATAACAGTGTTGCATGATTTCAAACAATGAGCTAATAACCTTTGTTTTAATTCTATAATATCTGTTGATATGTTAGGGTTGGAGGAGAGCGTGTCCTGTTTATCTCTTCAGTCTTGTGGGCTCTGGTCACAGCTGGTACTCCTCTTCTGGCCCACTTAGGTTCTCACACCTTGGCTCTCATGGCTCTGGCCAGATTCCTCATGGGAGTACTGCAAGGTGAGAGTTACAGCATTGGAATAAGCACATAAAGAAGCACATAAACATTTTGGGGGAGAAATGTGTTCAGTTTCTTGCCCAGAATTAGACGAGAAGATCTCAACATATGTCTGTACACTAAATATGAAGCTACAGCCAGCAGACGGATAGCGTAGCTTAGCATAAGACTGGAAACGCGGAAACATAACTTTTTTTTCTTCTTTTATTTTTAGCTTTCTACAAAGTCAGACTAGCCGTTTCCCCTTGTCTCCAGTCTTCATGCTAAGCTAAGCTAACCGGCTGCTGGCTTTATGTTTTTCATGTTGCATGAGGTACTGACAAAAGGCAAGATAAAAAAAAACAAACAAAAAAAAAAAAAGAACATTTTGGTAATTTACAAAGCTAGTTATTTTTATGTCTAAATGTGCTCAAGAAGAAACAAAGTATTCAAACAAAGCATACTGTACAGACATTAGAGTGGTATCCATTGTTTAACTCTTGAAGTGAGTAAGCATATCTCCCAAATTGTCGAACTCCTTTAAATAAGAGTTTCAGTGCTGCAGGAAATATACACTATAGTGAATATATTTGAGAAAGCTGAGCGTGTCTTGTAATGTCTCTTAGGTGTTTTTTTCCCGTCTTTGGCCAGCCTTTGCTCACAGCACGTGGTGGAAGAAGAGAGGGGTTTTTTAATGAGCACCATGAGCAGTGGTAGCAATCTTGGGTATGTTTGGCGCGCACACACACACACACACACACACACACACACACACACACACACACAC